CGGAGGCAAAGAGACAGAGAAGGAAAGCCGGTAGCCAGGAAGACAGACCAGAATCGGACTTCGCTTGTGCTCAGTATGGGATGGTCTGCCACTCTCGGATTGGCCTCATCAGTCACACCAGACGCTGCACCAGGATTGACAACTAGGGCGCAACTCCATAGTCTCCCGAGACTGAAGGATGCCTATATAGCTACTACTACTACCTGAATTTACCAGAGGGTCACTATCTCTCAGTGAGGATAGGAAGCCGGCGGCTTGTCAAATGTCCCCTATTTGCCCTGGTGATTTTATCGAGCAATGTTTTATCATTTACGGCTTCGTCGGGAAGGTGGTTCCATAGTTCCCCTGAATTTACTCGAGGGTGGCCCTCGAGTAAATTCAGGTATCTCTCTCTAGCGGTCTCGACGAGGACAGGAAGGTTGTCTGGCTTGTCGAAGGCCCAGCTCCCATTTGTTTTGGGGCCAAACAAATGTCAATGTTTTGGCATTTACGGCTTCGGCGGGTATGCGTTTCCGCCAAGGTTATAAATTAACCGTCGTAATGTGAACCGAAAATATAAATGAAAATACATACATTGATTTCAGTACTGTAATATACCAGTTATTTGAGAGTTGAGAAGCGGAACCAAGAAATGCAGAATCTCAATAACCGAAAGAACAATTAGGTTGTACTGAAATTAACGTGGTGATTTATATAGTCTGTAAACAAGTACTATATCTATAAAATATAAAACTTATTTTAATTATCCTACACTTCAAGAGACCACAAGCATTCTTACTCTCATTTATTTTTGTAGCAGAAATGTTTTGTCTATATTTATTTAATGGAAATTAGTGGTGTTTGAGCAAGCTAATCAACGTCAAAAATGTTTACATTGTTGTTCTTCATCTGTAGTACTGAGCTCTACACATATGGGTAGCTTTGCCGCAGGCTGTTTACTGCTCTGAGAAATGGTCACTGCTTGATCGCAAGCGGGGATATTTCTGATGGGGAGAAAGAAACATTTGCGCAGCGCGTCCCGCGGCGTTGCGCGGGCAGTCTGGGGCCGTATAAATACGGGCGCGCAGAGGGGCTCTGCCCTCACTCCGCCTGCCCCCGCCGCTGCCCTCGCAAATCTTCAATAAATTTAAAGCCCCATACTGCCAGTATCTTTCTCCCCCTGATCAGAAAATAAACATAAATCCACATGCCTGGAGCCCGCGGTGCCCGGCGCCTTGCTGTGGGCTGGTCTAGGAATACCGTGGGATTTCACCAAAATAAAACAAGTTGACAGAACCATTATTATTGTTCACTATGATGAAGTTGCACACTTAATGCCTGTATATATATTTTGCTTGTATGTACTCGATTGCGTAAAATATGGGATTAATGTATATTTAAGCTGTGAGTGAATGTCCACTTGGTTGTCAACAATATTTTCATTTAGTTGTTTAAGTGTTGGGTTGAGCTAAATTACTACACCATCTATAGATCATCCAACAAAATCAGCAGAGTCCTAGATGTTACTACTGCTCGGCTTAGACTCGGCTATAAGTATCTCGGAGAATTTTCATTATCTGCTGATGTAGACCTGACCAAATGTAAACTGTCAAAAAAATTATTCGCACTATTATAAATTATTCGAAAAGATACGTAAATTAAGAGACAATTCTTTACCAAACGTTCAATAAATTTGTAAACGTTTTGTTCAAAATGGACTCGGTAAGAGATGCCGCAGTTTCGCATGATTACTAAATTGTCCTGGTTTCTAGGAACTGTGAGCATGGGTCTGAGGAAAAACTGTCCTTACTCTGAATACCGCAACGTCTGTGCTTATATGAATATATGTCACATACACATATTTTATAACACACATTTAATTTGTATCTAGTTCTTTATTGTTAACTTACATACTCAAAGAACCTTGCAACATCTACATTCGAGGAAGGATTCCAGAAGCAGTTAACAACTGCCATTTCTTGTTTCTGGAATTCTTCTTTATGCTGTAGGTAAAGTAGTTAATAGAACTACTGTCTCCTGCTCCTGGGGTTGGTGGTTCGAGACTACTTGTGCCCAGGGTGAATGTGGAGATCAGTAGTTCGACCTTGGAGGTGGACCTCGATATACACCTAACGAATAGACATGCACAAGCTGCCTGTCCTCAGTGTATATTTTACACACACACACACACTCTCCCTCTCATAAGGGAGGTGGTGGCCGAGTGGACAGCGCTCTAGACTCGTGGACCTAGGGAGTAAATGTTACTCCTACTGCTATGTAACAAGATTTTGTTGGTACATTTTCATGTAAATTCACAACTCTTCGCGCCAGAAACAAGTCATGAGAGAGCCACACAATAATTTTCGGATCTAACCTTCATTCTTTCTTAATGTGTTGTATACAATGAAATGATTATACATTGCTCTGTTGTGAACATTGTATACAGTACCTCAAGATATAAATCCCACACCAGTTAACTAGCTCCCAGATACCTAATTAATTCCCTACTCTCTGTAAATGTTAATGTGATGTCACCGAGCAGTAAATAGGTTCCTGGAAATTAGACAGCTGCTACGGGTTACTTCCTGGTGTGCGTGCGTGCGTGTGTGTGTGTGTGTGTGTGTGTGTGTGTGTGTATGTGTGCGCGAGAGAAAAAAAAATTGTAAGTAGTTAGTAATAGTTGATTGACAGTTAAGAGGCGGGCCGAATGAGCAGAGTTCAACCCGCGCCTGCACAACTAGGTGAATACTCTCTCACTCTCTCTCACCACCCACATATAACACCCACATATGTGTTGTATGTGGATGCTGAAGTTCAGTCTCTTGTCTATGTATAGGTCAAGGAACTTTCCATAATCATTATTGGTAATGTTAACATTGTCTATCTGAAGTTGAATTTGGTTTCAGGATTTACTTCCGAACAAAAATAGTAGTCGGTCTTTTTTATGTTTAATGCGAGTTTGTTAGTTTACATCCATGAGTGGACTTTTTAAATCTGTTATTTTAATTATTATATAGTGCGTTTGGGTTGGGGTCTGAATAGATGAAGGTAGCATCGTCAGCACTTATGTTTACACTTATTGGAAGTATCTAAGTATCAACTAAAGTATCTTCACACTTGACTTAAACTTTAGTAACTATTTTCTGAACCATTCCTCAAGTTTCGGAGGTCAACGAAGATGGAATTCACATGAAATGGATTATGTTACCATCACTAATAATGTTGTGTTTTCTCTGTCTAGCTTCGGACACGGTCATGTTACAATTGTGTCTTAGAAAGTTGCGCGCAATTAAGGATGATAAAAATCACTTACAATTAATGCAGGATGGTAGAAAATCACTTACAATTAATGCATCAAGTTTGGAGACTTGAATTGAAATTGAAATTGAAATAAGTTTATTGAGGTAAAATACACACAAAGGGATGAGGTAGCTCAAGGTACTTAAATTAATGGCACAGTACATGGGTTAAAGTGATGGATCCCTTCTAACATATACATAATTCATTCATTTTCTATCATTCTCATTCTCTCTCTCTCATTTAACTTTGTCAACACAGTACAGTATTACATTTCATGTTTTCTCACACACACATCAATAACATTTCAGCTACTATCCAGTAGTTTACACATATTTTCCAACTCATTATTTGGTCTACTAATATTAGAATTTCCAACAATGAAAACATTTTCTTTTTTCAGGTTTTTGTTTTTGATATATTGTGTGGGAAGCCTTTCACTGTTTGGTATACTGTACTGAATGGGGCAGACTTTCATTGTTTAGTATACTGTACTGAATGGGGAAGACTTTCATTGTTTGGTATACTGTACTGGATGGGGCAGGCTTTCATTGTTTGGTATACTGTACTGAATGGGGCAGACTTTCGTTGTTTGGTATACTATAAGAGCAGACTTTTGTTGTTTGGTATACTGTACTGAATGGGACAGACTTTCATTGTTTGGTATACTGTACTGAATGGGACAGACTTTCATTGTTTAGCATACTGTACTGAATGGGGCAGGCTTTCATTGTTTGATATACTGTACTGAATGGGGCAGACTTTCATTGTTTGGTATACTGTACTGAATGGGGCAGACTTTCATTGGTATACTGTACTGAATGGGACAGGCTTTCATTGTTTGGTATACTGAACTGAATGGGGAAGCCTTTCATTGTTTGGTATACGGTACTGAATGGGGCAGACTTTCATTGGTATACTGTACTGAATGGGACAGGCTTTCATTGTTTGGTATACTATAAGAGCAGACTTTTGTTGTTTGGTATACTGTATGGGCAGGCTTTCATTCTTTGCTTTACTGTATGGGGACAGTGATGATATACCATAATAGGGAGCAGAAAGCCAGATAAACTTACCGAGGGCAAGGCTGTTCACATGATCCACCACTCCATACTACCCAATCCAAACTAAACCAATGACATATAATTTTTACTTTACTCTGTCTAAATTTGGTTATATATATACAGTATACAATTCCTAGTACTGTACTGTAATAATGATGATATCTTTATTGTAGCCACATGTCCGTACGTTGTACACAACAGATTGGTTTCTAGAGTATGATTAAGCCAATAATACATTCAAGGGATATCTTATCTTGAGGTTATCTTGAGATGATTTCGGGGCTTTTTTTAGTGTGTCCCCGCGGCCCGGTCCTCGACCAGGCCTCCACCCCCCAGGAAGCAGCCCGTGACAGCTGACTAACACCCAGGTACCTATTTTACTGCTAGGTAACAGGGGCATAGGGTGAAAGAAACTCTGCCCATTGTTTCTCTCCGGCGCCTGGGATCGAACCCAGGACCACAGGATCACAAGTCCAGCGTGCTGTCCGCTCGGCCGACCGGCTCCCTGAATACCTAGCAATAACACTGACATACTGTGCACACATGTGAAGTATTAAAAAAAGAAAAAAAATTATACCAGCGGTTGAAAGTTTTGTGCATATATATATTTTATATATACGAACTATTATCTTGCAGGTTGGTTAAGATTAAAAAATTATGTACAGAATATACAATTTATTTAAAACACATTGTTTTAAGCAAATATTACATATGCTTCTACAGCAGTAATTGTTATTTACATGTACATTACCCAAGTATTTTATTACCATTTAATGCCTAAAACATTAGTAGCCTTCTCCACGGCGTTGTAATTTGCCCGCAAACATTTCTGAGCCTTCTGTGAGTCTTCTCCTCCAAGCCATTCTGAGTAAATTGATGGAACTCTGTGATCTTCACTGGGGTTGATAGTTGGAAGTAATTCATAAGCTTCTTGTAATTTTGATACCAAATCTTTGGACGACGTACCACTATCTGGACGAATTTGTGCTCCACCATTCAAACATCCTAAAAATCAAGCAGAGAATGTAATGAAATGCCTCTTTTTGATGAAACCCATAGTGGCTGCCCAAGCTACCCACCGGGAGCCTTCCAATCCTTGGGTACCACAACCAGGTTCTGACCATGAGTGCCTACCTGAGATCAGGACCAGAAGCTGGCCCCCTGAATAGACATAGCAAGGTCTGGCCATACAAGTATCACAGTACCAAAGAAAAAGATAACCACAAAGATAGAGTGCACCAAAAACACCAACAATTTACACAATATGTTGCAGCCCTGATTCAAACTATATACTCACTCATTGTCTAGGTCAAACCTCTACTTATCACCACTTCCTTGCCACCAGATGGTAGTTCTAGTGGCTCTAAGGGGCCCTGTCATTCACATACTGCACAAAAAATAAAATGATTCCTGAACACTATGAGTTATTTAAAAGACCAGGCAAACCTCAAAAGATGGTTGTGCGAAATGGTGGACAGGTAATGAACTTGTTCTGGCTCGGTAGGATGAGAGTGAACTGAGAATCTGAGTCGTGCTTAGGGCACAGAACCAAGAGGACACCCAACACAAGAAAGGCAATGACTCGACTAAGCCTGTATCCAAGAACTGGTCCCTGTCTCTGTTAGAAGCCCATGATTTGTAAGATCCTGATGTCGTAGAGTACTCAAGGTTTGGAAGGTTCCAGGTAGCTTGGAAAGCCATCCCTGGAAACAGATGCAATTAGAGACACAGCTACTTGACCATTACGACAAAATCACTGAGGCATTAGAAGAAAAACCAAATGAAGATGTGGTATACATGGATTTCGCAAAGGCATTTGATAAATGTGACCATGGAGTGATAGCACACAAAATGAGGTCAATGGGAAAACTGGTAAAGTGGGACGCTGGATACTCGGTTTTCTGTCGAACAGAACACAAAGAGTAACAGTCAACCATATAAAATCGAGTCCAAGCGCAGTTAAAAGCTCTGTACCTCAAGGTACAGTCCTTGCACCGCTGCTTTTCCTTATTCTCATATCAGATATAGCCAAAAGTACAAGTCACAGCTTCGTATCATCCTTTGCATATGACACAAAAATCAGCATGAAAATTACCTCTGTTGAAGACATTGAAAAACTGCAAGCAGATATTAATAAAGTTTTTGACTGGCAGCAGTAAATAACACAATGTTTAACAGCGATAAATTCCAGGTACTCAGATATGGTAAAAATGAGAACCTTAAAACATAATACAGGGTACAAAACAAAATAAAATTTGCCCATAGTAGGAAAGCAACAGATAAAAGATTTGGGAATAATGATGTCTGACGACCTAGCGTTTAGGGAGCATAACCAAGCAAATATTGTGTCAGCCAGAAAAATGAGAGGATGGATTACGAGAACTTTCAAATCCAGGGATCCCATCACAATGGTTGTACTCTTCAAATCACTTGTGCTGTCCCATCTTGAATACTGCTCAGTACTCGGTACTCACTTCCCTCTTCCGAAAAGGAGAGGTTCCAGAAATAGAGGGAGTACAGAGAACATATACGGCATACATAGCACCTAAATTATTGGAATCGTCTCAAAGCCCTCCAAATGTACTCGCTAGAAAGATGACGAGAAAGAGATCAAATAATATACACATGGAAAACACTGGAGGGACAGGTCCCAAATCTACACAGTAAAATAACAACATACTGGAGTGAACGATATGGAAGAAAATGCAGAATAGAACCAGTGAAGAGCAGAGGTGCCATAGGCACAGTCAAAGAACACTGTATAAACATCAGAGGTCCGCAGTTGTTCAACATCCTCCCAGCGAGCATAAGGCCAGGCTTGGGGAGTAAAAGAGCTCCCAGAACCCCATCAAGCCGGTATCAAGCAGGTAAACAAATCATGAGGATTAAACACTAGAAATTGAAGGGACGACGACGTTTCGGTCCGTCCTGGACCATTCTCAAGTCGATTCAATCGATGACTCAAGTCCATTCTCAATCGACTTGAGAATGGTCCAGGACGGACCGAAACGTCGTCGTCCCTTCAATTTCTAGTGTGTGGTCTGGTCAACATACTTCAGCCACGTTATTGTGACTCATCGCCTGCATGAGGATTAAAATTATTAGTGAATAATTTAAATTTACAGAAAATGGTCATTAATTTGAGAATACCTGTACTTCTTTACAGTAAACAATAACAAGAAAGGTTAAGTAAAGGTGAAAAATATTTATGATAAATTACTGCATGTAAAGAGCACAAGACCATGAGTACAGCTTTCTTCAAGTAACTACAAATATTGAATAAATCCTGGAAATAAATAATGAGAACAAAGGGAACTGCAGAAGACATATTGGCCTATAATAGGCAGCTCCATTTATATGCACCAAAACTCATTCATACACCCAGTGGGCACCACTGGTTGAAAACAACCAACATTTAATACTGTTTACTATATAATGGTGATCGCTGCCAACATAAGGAGCCCACTGGTATACATGTCTATCGTACGCTTACAACACTCCACCAATCCCATGACTATTGTCTTCCGTTGGCAATTTCGTCCATAAACAAACTTCACTATTTCTGAGTAGTATCTACCCAGGTCTTTCCTGAATCTATCAAATTAATATCCCAGCCCATCCTCCTAAGGCTTCAAAACATCAAGAAAATGGTTAATTTAAAGTGAACTCTCATAACTTAACAGACTAAGCCAGAGAACCCAAAACAAAAAAAGGGACAGTACGTCACTTTCGTGATGTACTTTCAAGCCGCTTCTATTTTCTAGTACGACAATTTTTAGCCTTAGTATCACATACGAGTGAAGACTGACATCCTCTGTAAGAGGACAGGTTGAATATCCACTGTTTCATGTTCAATTTTGTGTTAATATATTTAAAAATCTTATTTACATCTCTTTTGTTATACCTTTTTGCATCCTTAATATACAGTACAGTACTTTTATTATTTCACCTCTTACTCTATTTCTTTATAAAGAATGGAAATTAAGCTTTTTCAATCTATCATAAGAGAGGTTTGTGTCTTGTGATTAACTTCTCTATACACTTTGAAGTGACTTAATGTCCATTCTAAAATATGGTCTAACAAGAGCCAAATCAAGCATTAAGACATGCATATTGGATATGTCTTATTGCTACCGCTTCCAGAAATATATCCTAGTACCCTGTTTGCTTTATTGGCTTAAGATCCCTACTTAACATGACTTTCTATATCTTTTTTAGCATTCAGATGTTTCAATTTCAACATTGTCCAGCTGAGATCTGGTAACTATTGCCATTACCTAAGCTCAGAATCTAAGCCGAATTCATAGACAGACGCCATCCCTTACATAGAGTTCTTGCCAATGAACGAATTCCAGTTGTTGGTAAAGGGTATTAAACTATCAAAACAATGTCTTTCAAGTCTACAATTTAGCCCAATTTACCTTCATAACTATCCACCACCAATACTGAACTTGGCAGAAATCCACATACAGTACAATAAGAACCCCACCCTTTGTGTGTATTCATATCTAATACTAACCTGAATCTATTTATAAGTTCCTCATTCTGACTCCTGCCAACATCATTACCTTTAACAGAGTCAGACAAGAGACTTGTCCCCACTGCTGGTCAAAATGTTGTCCACCCTCTCCACTCTTCCCCTACACCAACCCCAGCAGTCCCACACACCCTCATCCTATTACGTGTATCTCTTGAACAAAAGGCCTGGCCATATATCTTATTTGAGAATATCCAACACCCTGTTTTGTAAGTATTTATAGTCTCGCAGCCCGGCCTGTAGTAAAACTTTTCTAGTGTCCCCACTGACAAAATAAACAATATTTTAATGCACAAAACATTCCTTAACAAACCACAATACAATAAAAAATATTGATACAGGTATTTATATACAGTACTGTACAAAATTAATGATACAGTACAGTAAATGATAACATATGCAAAGTCTTACTAAAGAGCAAAAGCTGTCACAAAGCTTTTGAAATAATGTTTGGAACCCAAGCCAATTATGGAAATGTAATTCCTTAAGAGATGTCTCTAACTGAAGTGAAAGCACTACACTGAAGCAGTTGTAAAGGTTAAACTCTCTTACCTGAAGGGCAAGCCATCACCTCAATGTAATGGTACTGGCTCTTCCCTCTCTTCAATTTCTGCACCAGGTTCTGGATGTTACGAAACCCATACGCTAGTGCAAATCGTAATACAGTCTCTCCGTTCACTTCCAAGGTCACCTCGCGGAAGTCTGCATTCCTGCATTAACAAATAAATGTACTAAATCTTTTTTAAGCCGAGGCCAAGAACCACAGAAAATAAATAGCCTTTTAATGTACCTCAATAATGTTCACATATAAATTTTAATTCTTTCTGAAAGTCTTGGCAATATTTAAACGTCAGCTTCAATGCTATGTTATGAACAACTATGTGACAAATTTATGAAAAATATTAAGAGTTGCCTTACCTTAAGGTTTTCCACTGTAACATATCCTGGTCCTGACCAAACAATTGTTTTGCAGCAGTGATAAAAACATTGTGAGCATAACCCCCAGATGGTGATCCCTGGTGGGAGGTCAACACAGGGCCAGAGCTCAGGTCACCATCCAGTGGTACTGGCGGCACACGAGGCAAATCCACCTCATCTCTCGACAACATCTGTTCCACTTCCACTGCAAATGTAATGTTGAAAACAATCAATTTCTACTGACATGCTCAACAGGGAGAACCTCCCAAGTGAGCTATAATAAGCAATTATCTTTTTTTTCTAATAAAACTAATTTGCTAGTTATGCTCCCCAAAACATTAATGCAGTAACTATCATATTTACAAGCACTATTCTTGTTATTTAATGTTGTCTTAATTATTTACACACGTTTACATTGCTAAAAAAAAAAAGTCACATAATATTAGGTGATGTTGATGAAGTCTTCTATTGCTTGCATCATAATGTCTGATGGCTGCATCTATCAAGACACCTGCTACAAACAAAATGTAATCATGTTTACCCTTTTTATCATTGACAACCAATCAATACTAGCTTGGGAAAGTGGGATGTGATAATGATGTTGAAGCCTTATAAAGAGAGCTGCAGGAACTCTACAAATGGTCAGAAGAGTGGCAAATGCTTTCTTAATATCGACAAATGCAAGACCCTGCATGTGGGGCACAACAACTCATGCCACAACTACCAAATTAATAACATTACACTACAGGAGATTGATGAAGAAAGGGACCTTGGAGACAAAATCCACCACTCAATGAAAGTTACACAGCAAGTAGGAACAGCAGTCAGTCAGAAAAGCTAACCAAACACTTGTGACAATCAAGCGTACCTTTGACTTCAAGGAAAAGAAGGTAGTGATTCAACTGTATAAATCTCTAGTGCACTCCCATTTGGATTATTGTATCTAAGCATGGAGGCCTTATCTTCAGGAAAGACATAGCTGCTCTGGAGAAAGTGCAACACGGGCAACAGAATTATTCTAGAGTTAAGTCAACTCACGTGTCAGTAGCGGTTGAGGGACACTGGGCTAACAACACGAAAAATCAGGCATGATAGGGCAGATCTTATTGAAACTTTTAAAATACTGAACAAGTTGGAGGATGTTGATCCAGAAAATTTTGTCAAAAGATCAGGTGTACCACAAACAAGGAGCAGCAGTTTCAAGCTCACCAAGCCACAATGTAGGACTGAGAACAAGAGATGCTGTTACACCCACAGGGTTATTAACCCATGAAACCGCCTACCCGCCGAAGCCGTAAATGCTAAAATTTCTGTTAAGCTTTAAAGTACAGCTGGAAAAAATTATCAAGGCAAATGGAGGGGGGCCCTTCGACAAGCTGCCAGCTTCCTGTCCTCATTGAGGCCACAAGTGTTAGTGGCTCTCGGGTAACACAGAACAGTCAAGACAAAAACTGTCAAGCACCGTCACACACGTGGGGTTCAAATTAGCCTTATCAAACATCCACTGAGAACTGTCATGCTGTCAATCCTTCCATAAGCTCTCTCAGAGGTGGAGCTTAATTCAGCCTCATTAATCATCCATCATATGGGCTGAGTATCTGGTCCAGAATACACTAGTCCAATAGTGTGCAACTGTCTTCATGTTGGAATAACTCTGCTGAGAGAGGTGACATCATCACCTACCAAATTACATTGTTATACCAGCTTATTCAAAGAAATATATCACACTGAACTAAAGATGTTTTAACTTATTAGAGTTTAACCACTTAACTGCGCCAACTGAGTATTCTCGGTCGGCGGGAAACTGCGCCAACTAAGAAAACACTTTTTGATTTTTCCGTACCCATTCTAAATGTGTGCGAGGTTGGTTGTGTACGAAATGGACTCTTAGGACCTCCATTGAGAGGCAGTTATCTTGGAAAAAATTCCCAGAATGCCCTAGGGCTGCTGGCTGGGTTAGTTCTGAGTGAACAACCATGGGTGGCGCATGCGCTTCTAGCTCCCAAACACCTGTCCGACGCGGCGTTGAAAGATAATGCTCTCTCGGTGAAATTCATACCTTATTGTTTGAACAACATAAGGGTCATAATATTGGTAAAGCTAGGCGCAATAAGGACCTAACACAAAGGTCAGATACAAGTGATACAGCACCTATGAGGACAATACAGCGAGCGTATCTCGTTGTAGCTCTGAGCGTCACACTTCCAATCCTATGCTATCTCCAATTTATTTAGATGATGCATAGATGAATCGTTTTCTGAGTTCAGTGATGATGCATCTGATACAAGTAGCATAGATGAACTGTGTTAGCAGCTTCCATGGTGGTGTTTTCCTTAGATATTTTCAAGAATATCTGAATCACTTCCTGACTGATGGACACACTTTGAGGCTAGCTGAATCTCTTTCCGACTGATGGACACTCTTTGAGGCAAGCTGAATCTCTTCCTTTGTGGGACCAAACAAAGGAATCGTTTCAAGACTACTTTACAAATTGATCTTTTCCTATAATCTTTTCAATACTACCTAATGCTTTACAAGCTTGGCTACATACAACCTACAAGTACTAAAGCCAAGGGTGTACATGAGTGCGTTATTTGCACTCCAAAATTCTGAACAATTTTGTTTATGCACACCTCAAGAGGGGCTCTTGTAACATGTGCACAGTGCAGGGGAAATACAGGGAAAACTAACCAATTCTTAACAACACACTAATAAGCTACAAAAAAATTAATAATATTTAAAATGCATTTAAAAAGTATCTCCAACAAACCTGAGGTTATAACACAGTCCACTTCACGTGTAGAATACAACTCACTGTAGAAATCATCTCGGGACGCTTCTAATTTCTTATCAAAACAAGGCATAACCGTCACGTGATAAATCTGAAAGGGGGATATCATCACCATCACCTTCACCCCATTTATAACCTTCAAAGCCTGAGGCGGTACTTTTCCCAGAGAAAAATAGGAATGATAAGTGAACAAATTGTATGTCTTGTGAGTAATCTACCTATAAAAGATAATGCTTCTCTGTCCAAGGTTAAAGGCCTGACACTCGAGTCTGGCTTCCTGAAACGTTGCAAATTTATTGGTTAGTGTATGGGTAGTTTCACTGGGAAGGCGGGGCAATCAGGGTTGGCCCTAATACCCTCCTTGAAGGGAAGTTGGCCCTTATTTTCCTTTCAGGAAGTCAGAGGATGCAAAATATTCTGCACAGAGTCTGCAGGGTTTAGCATTTGTTTCAACAGTTGTGTATTATGATATTGACATGCAAAATGTATGTTCAAATGACAGATGTGTGTTCTGGGTGCAACCTTTTGTTACAGTAATGGAGTGTGTGTGTGTTGTGACAATGTTTACAACAATGGGGTAGAGAGAGAGAGGATGTGTGCAGGAGGGAGGAGCTGGTGGTGTGTGCAGGATACAGAAAGTGTTTATTTTTTTTAGGATGAGGGGGAGGAGACAGGGCATATGTGGGAGAGACAGGGAAGGGTGTATGGGGAAAGGTGTGCAAAGTGTGAAGATGTTTATAGTGATGAAGTGTGTGTTTTCTGAAGATAGGTACAGTGATGGGGAAAGACAAGGAAGGTGCGGGGAGAGAAAAGGATGGTATGTTTGTGGGCGTGGGCAGAGGGAAGATGGATAGTGTGTGTGTGGAAGAACCCGAGTGTTTGTGTTTGGGAGACTTTGACACCAAGTTAATCCGGGTACTACTGGGTACCCGGTCTAGTACAACATATGAGTAAATACACGAGGAACAAGTTGACACAGTACAAGTGATTCCTGAAACAAAATGCATATGTAAACAGTAAAATTACTGTATACCAATTTATCCTACCCTTTCATCCATTTGTATATTTATTCCTGGATTGTACCTGGGTGAGGTTCTGAGAGTTGTTCTACTCTCCAAGCCCAGCTTGGCTTTTGACTTCTTGGTCCAACAGGCTATTGCTTGGAGTGGCCTGCAGGCTACAGCCCAGTTGATCCGGCACTTCTTGCAGACAACTATCCTGTTTTTTTTTTTTTAAACTTACACTTTTGTTCTGGTAACATTTCTCATACTTGCTGGGAGGATACTGAACAACTGTGGACCTCTGATGTTCATAGTGTTCTCTGATTATGCCTATGGCACCTCAACTCTGCACTGTCTCTATTCTGCATTTCCTTCCATATGGTTCACTCCAGTATGATACTATTTTACTGTCCAAATTTGGGACCTGGCTTTCTAGTACCCTCCAGGTATGCTGTACATGTTTTGGTACCTCTCTCGTCTCCTTTTTTAGAGAATATATTTTAAGAGCTTTGAGATGATCAAATCAAATCAAATCAAATCATCTCAAGATGATTCCAATAGTTTGGGAACTGTACTATGTCTATGTATGCCATATATATATATTCTCTGTATTCCCTCTATTTCAGCAATCTCTCCTGCTCTGAGGAAAAAGTGCGTACCAAGCTGTACTCGAGGTAGGACAACACAAGTGCTTTGAATAGTATGAGCATTGTGATGAGATCCCTGGATTTGAAGATTTTCATACTCCATCCTATAATTTTTCTAGCGGGCATTATATTTGCTTTATTATGCTCCCTAAACATTAGGTGGTCAGACATCTTTACTCCTAGATCCTTTACATGCTTTCCTACTATGGGCAGATTTGACTATTTTGTACCCTGTAATTTGTTTAAGGTCTTCAATTTTATCATACATGAGTACAATACTTGGGGCCAGATTCACTAAGCAGTTATGCAAGTACTTATGAATGTGTACATCTTTCCTCAACCTTTGACGGCTTTAGTTACATTTATTAAACAGTTTACAGACCTGAAAACTTCCCAGTCAACTGTTGTTATTGTTATAAACAGCCTCCTGGTGCTTCAGAGCTCATTAACTGTTTAATTATTGTAAACAAACCGCCAAAGATTGAGAAAAGATGTACAGGTTCATAAGTGCTTGCATAACTGCTTCGTTGAATCTGGCCCCTGGAATTAATCACTGTTCAACATCATATTATTTTCTGCTGCCCAATCAAAAGCAATATAAATATCACCTTTTAATTTAATCATATTACACCTTTGTTTTTGTGTTTCCGGAGAATGTAAAATTAAGTTTGATTAATCCCTCTTCTTAAGGGGTGGGGGTTCCTAATTCCTGGTATTAAATTTTATCATCCTTCTCTGTAGTTGTTGTAGTGAATTTATGTCCATTCTACAGTATGGCGACCAAAACTGAAATACATAATCTAAATGGGAACTAACACGGGAAACTGCTCAAGCTTCTTGATATAAATCCAAGTACTTATTTGTCTCATCAAGTCAGATATCTAGTATGAGTAAAGTATTCGTTCTCTTTATATACAATAGGTGGCTCACCTTATCTGGAGTAATGCCCTTCTGTGTACACCATAATTCCTTTACTAACATCCCCATCATCTGTTGGGGACTTCTGCTATTACTAATATAGGGCAAAATATATGACCCATGGGTTTTTTCTGCATAGCATATCCATCCTGAAACAGACAAATAATGGCAGTGATTATGTGGAAATAAACAATTATTTAATAAATTAAGGTAAGGTATTAATCCAGAGAAAGCACTAAGCCAATATGACTATATAGCACTTTGAAGTGATATGAGGACAGGATAGGAGCTGTTAGATAAGGAACGTGCGAAGGAACAGTGCCCAGTCATTTGAACCTTCAGGGACTGAATGCCGCCTTGTAAGAAGCGAGGCCATCGCTGCACCAGCTAGTCCAAGTGAATGGTAATGTACCTTAATAAATTCATAATAATAATTAGGATACAGAAGGTACAGTGGAATCTTGGGTAGTGAACGTCCCTCTTTACGAACTCAATTTCTTCGGAAAATTCAAATCGGGTTATGCCCTTTGCCTCACCTTGCAACTTTGTTGATACACATATGGGTCGACAGAGCGCATATTTCCTGGTGGCACGGGCGACCACGCTTCAGTTTACCAGTGTCACCCGCTTAGTGCTGATCGCTCTTGAATTCTTTGTAAAGACTTTCAGTGTTTTTTGTTTTTGAACATAAAAGTAATTATTATATACCACACCATGGGGTCCTAAGAAAGTCAGTATTAACAGTATCGCTCGCTTTGGACACCGATCATGTCCATTTTTTTTTTCTGTTGAGTGTGCCATGGACAGGACTCACGTCCACTACAAAAATATTTGTATAAAATTAATTTTTTATCCGATCGACCTCGGGATAGTTTCAAAATAAGCGCCTTTAGAATGCGCACAATTTGATACCAAAATGAAAGATGCAACACGAAACTTGATGTCAGAACACTTGAAAGATTATAAATACGTTTTTGGGTCTAAATTTATAATTTTAAAATATTTGGTAACATTCTATTTATTGTGCCATTATTATGGGACTAGTTTTAAAATGCGCGCCTTTATATTGCAAACAATTTGATACCAAAACAAGTGATGTAACATGAGAATTGATGTTATCAAACTGAACGAGTATACACATTAGGTTGTGGTGTGCAAATTGGTGCTCGTTCACGGGTAATTTTAGGCTTAGCTGCGGGGAGTCTCGCCAGGCTTTTGGACATTATATGCATATACATCTGCAGGGAATTTAATTGCGAACACAATGATACCAAAACGAACGACGTAGCACAAGAATTAAGGTGAGAAAACTGAAACGAGTATACACATTTTACTGATTTTATGCGCTCATGGGTAACTTTTCCGACTTTAGGCTTTGCTGTGGGGGAGTCTCACCAGGCTTTTGGACATTATATGCATATACATCTGCAGGGAATTTAATTGCGAACACAATGATACCAAAACGAACGACATAGCACGAGAATTAAGGTGAGAAAACTGAAACGAGTATACACATTTAGGCGTCGCCGCACGCTCGCCTGCACTATTAGCCCCATGACGTCAAAGCCTGCGGCTCTCACGTGGCGCGCTCGATAGTGTTAAGGTTCAACCTACGAAAATAGCTGAGAGTAGAGGCAGTAGAGGATGTCCCTTCCTCATTAAGAAAATGTGTGAACTATTTGGAAGAACTGCAAAGTTTTGTTGAAAAACTCACCCAGATAAAGCTGTAGCAGGCCATTGCATTGACCGTTTTAATGACACTGTGATGTCTCACTACAGGCACGTGTTAAAATGTAGGGAAAAACAAGTGTCTTTAGACAGACTCTTAGTAAAACAAGCAAGCATTGAGCCACAACCAGGTCCTAATGGAATGCCTGCAAATGTAGGAGAGAGAGAGTACCCCAGAGAAGTCATCACCGCTTTATGTTATAATAGAAGAGGACTCCCCTTCCAAACACTAACACCTCTCCTTCTCCCCCACCCCCTCCTCACCATTTTCCATACGCCAAGAAGTCATCAATAAAGGTAAGCTATTACTTGTACATACTATAGTACAAAATATTTATGTGTATTATGTATGAAATGCATTTTGAAGTTAAATATTTTTGGGAGTGTGGAATGGATTAATTCAATTTACAATATTTCTTATGTGAAAATTCGTTTTGGGTTGCAAATTTTCGGCTTACGACCCGTCTCTGGGAACAGATTAAATTCGTAAACGAAGGTACCACTGTATTTAAAGTTACACCTATCCATTCAATATACCGTGAAGCTCATTATCACAATCATTCAATCAATATACTTTCCACACTCAACATCACAGAAAAACTACTAGTCATCCACTTACCACACCGTTCACAACCAACATAGTTAACCTAATTCTGCCCGTTTCTGCCCGAAACTCTTTGCGTAATAGTGGCTTTAGGCATTGTATGTACTAGCTCTATCTATAAAGCCAACAAACTTTGTAAAATCTCTTTATGTATGTACCTTTACCTAAATAAAAATTATTATTATTATTATATTATAATGATTTAATATACAGGTATATAATTTATCTTTACTAATCGCTATGATTTAGTGTGAATAAGGTTTAACAGTTTTATTAGTATTTCAATTTATTGGACATTTATCTTACTTAAAGGACAAATCAAAAGTTAACTGTGTGCATCAGTTGTGATGCGAACCAGGTGTGCCAGATATCAGGCGAGTGGCTCCTAGCTACCCACACTTTTCTGTAAGGCTCTATATTAGGTTAACTCTTTCATGTTTGGAGACAAATTCCTGTTCTATTTTGATATTCAAATTTTCCCTGAGTGCATATGAGAGTTTTTAAATTTGGAGCTCTTTTTATCCAGAGCTTATCTTTTTATCCATTATTTTATATCTTTTTAAGTGGTGCCATATTTCAGTGACAAATTAAAATCCCATTCTAAAGGGCACTGAACAGCTCCCACCAATGCCACAACCACATTCATCCTATGTTATCCAAAATTGAGATTCATTCACTTTCATTATTACACAGTTATTATGTTATGTAATGTTATTTTATACATTTACAATATATAAGTTTGATAACATTTATTGATGGAAATTGGTGTTAATTGGCAAGTTTTATGAAGTGTTGTGTGGTCTTGTACTGCTGTCCGAAGCAATGAGTGCCACTACTAGCAACAGTGTCAGGAAGAGGAGGATGGCTACATATAAAGAAATCAATACTATATGATTATGACTACAATTCCAATGTATATGAAGAATTGAATGAGGCTGTCTTATTGCTGATGAACCAGCAAGTCATAGCCATGTAAGGACATTTTCATAACTTCTATGGGTGGTCAACAAGTGGAATGCAATGAAGGAATGGTTGTCAAAGCTAATTATATCCAGAACTGTTACGGCTCGGTAACCTTCTCTCATTTCCCTCTCGGCAAACCCTTTTTTTTCCTCTCTCACTTCCCCTCTCATCCTACCCTCTCACTGGACCCCACTCTTCTTCCCTTCACCCTTGCCTCCTCTTAAGTCTCTTAATTAAGGTCAAAAGGGATCAGATGCCTGGTGAGTGTAAAGCCAGTTGACAGTGGGTAAACAGTCCCTAAAATTAATTGCAAATTCAACCTGAGCAACAAGACCCTTAGGAATGTGTAATGAATTCTTGGGAGAGCAGGTCTGGGTTGGTGTTTACAAGATGAGATAATGTGTTTCATTAGAACAAAGATGGGGCTGTGTTGGGCGACTGGGCTCCATGGCTGGCTGACCCCCACTATGACCTGGAGAGAGGGCCCCAGGTTCTGTGATACCTGGGAGTGGGTTCCCAGGTCCATTAGACTTTGACTTTCCCCTTCTCCTTCTTCCCCCCCCCCATCTATGGGGGTGTTCCTGTATATAAAGATCTGGTTAGCAGTACAGTATTAGGTGGAGTGTGACCTGGAAGTGTTACAATAGCGGGTGTTATGATCAGCGTGGGTCACCAGGCCCCAACATAGCCTGACAGATGTGGAGGTTAGGGTAAATTCTGGGTTCGAATCCCGGGCGGGACGGAAATGGTTGGCCACATTTCCTTTCACCTAATGCCTCTGTTCACCTAGCAGTGAGTAGGTACTCAGGAGTTAGTCAGCTTGTTGTGGGGTTGCATCCTGGGCGGGGTCAGTAACTCGACCTTGTGTTGAGGGGGGGGGGGGGAAGGGTGACCTCAATAAAAGCCAAAACATGTATGAATGCACTCTGGCTTCCAGTCCCCCAACACAATGAATTATTCTATTATTAAATGTCTGAGTTCCTGTACAACTTGTAGATCGTCTCACCTTGCCTCTTAGGAATAGAATGCTTTAGTATATGGTTATTAAAGTGCTACTGAGAAATAAAGTGGTAATTAAACTTTATCCTGCATTTCAGTACATTTTTATCAAATTGTAATTCAAATAATTTACATCCAGTAATTATCAAAAGTAAAGACTCTACTTGGGACTTCTCTCCTCAGAGGTCTGAAAGCCTAATTAGTATAATCAAGTGAGGAATGGTGGCAGCAGTAATTACTAACAAATTAATTACCCCATCTTATTTCATTCCAAGAGTATCTTTAACACCTGGTCCTCTTCACCTTCCCTGACTAAACTGGGTGTAACTGCAAGATACAAGAGAGCAGTTTTAAGTGTCATTCCACTGACAGGGTGAACCCTCCCAGTCTGATCCAGTGTTAAAAATAATATAGTGTTACAACTGTAAGAAAAAACCCAGCATTGAATGTAATGAAACGCCATTTTCTGGGTGAGCCCCGGGGACTCCCTGAAGCTATCCGAACTGATATAGTCCTTTATTAGTTTGGGGTCATCAGTCACAGGAGTCCTTTGCCTAACGGAGACCACGAGCCAGAACCTGGCCCCCTCAGAGAGGCGCAGGGAGTAATGGCCTATGAGCACTTTACATTTAAAGTACAGTGCATCCTAACTAACGAATTCTCGGATGGTCCGAACAAATTGAATTAAGTACTAAAAGTTCAGTGGAACATACAATTGTTCGATTAAGCGAGGATTGTTCATAAAAGCGGTCACCGAGACCGAGCGTCAGGAGGGGCTGTCATCAACTATGATTCACCAAAGTGTAAACAATTATACAGTGTTTTTATTTCTAGGAAGATCCAATATCCACGACGGGGATCCCAACAGAAAATATGATGAAAACTTTAAAGTTAGCAGAAGTAATTAGCATCCTAGGTAGAAATGGCTAGGAGATGGGGGCATAAAAAGCCAGATCTCACTCTCCACATAAGCACTGATAGGTAAGTAATATCAACTTCTATCCTCTCCATCATCCACCTATAATTCTATCACACCCTTTATCTACATAAAAATCAGTAATGTCTTGCAAAAAAGACTAACAAAGTTGAAAGGTATATGTGACTTTAGAGGTAAATATGAAGTCAAGAGTCAAAAATTTAACCCCTCTATGACTGTTTCCAAAAATATATTACCCGACAAAATGTGTACATATGTTGCAAGGAAAACCAACAGGGAAGCAGATGCTACAACTGGTTTGAAAACACAGAAATTACTGGGTAACATAATAGGCATGGGATCACTGGATTGTATTAAGTGTCAGTTAGACAAGTACACTATATGAATGAGTTTGGCTATAAAATAGGACCTGCCTCATAAGGGCCAATAAACCTTCTAGAGTTTCCTTAATTCTTTGGTTATTACGACTGAAGACATGACCTGGAAGATGGGTCAAGAAATCAACAAAAGAAACTGATTTTCATGAAAGAAATAAAAGTATCTTTGGCCTGTGAAATTGGTAGTATGAATGCTGACAAGTCAACTGAACTCTTATTTTAGTTTTTTTGGTCATCAAATTTTCTTAACTGACACATGCTTAGCTTTTTTTTCTGACAAAGGCTTGTTAGGTTACAAACTTGTTAGGAAACATGCAAACAACAAACATAAGAGGTATACTGTCTTGATGGATAACTTTACATTTATCTGTAATACTGTACATGAGAAATATTAATTATGCACGAAACTCTACCTGGGCACGCAGAAGCAAGCATTGGCAATGCTTTACAATCGGTTTCTTTTCTCTTGTATCTTGCAAGGAATTCCTTTTGTGCTTCAAGCAGACTCAGGCTCCGAGCCAAGGTTATATCGAAGACATACTGGACACCCAGTTTCTTGAAATAACCTAAAAACATAGAACCATAGTAAACTCTGTTTTTAGAAAGTCATGTACATATATAGATATGAATCAAGAACAAGAATATATGAGGTAAGAACATAACCCTAGGACAATTTTTCTCAAATTAATGCATAGCACAAAAAAATAAAAGAACAATGATCTCATTACATGCCAACTACCACATTGGGGCATAAAAAAATAGAGAGCTGAGCAGTTTCAAACTCTCCTAAGTTCCTTGTCAAAGTCCAAATGGTAGAATAGCAAGAAAAGGGCATATAGGAATAAAGGGCAAAGTGGGAGATGAAATATGAAGGAGGGCAGGCAGCAATATGAAAGTAGCAGGAATGAACTACAATACTTGTTGACTACCTTTTGGAGATTACGAGGATCAATGTCCTCACTGCCTGGGACCAGATTCACGAAGCAGTTACACAAGCACTTACGAACCTGTACATCTTTTCTCAATCATTGGAGGCTTTGTTTACAATTATTAAACAGTTAATGAGCTCCGAAGCACCAAAAGGCTGATTATAACAATAACAACAGTTGATTGGCAAGTTTTTATGCTTGTAAATTGTTTAATAAATGTAACCAAAGCCGTCAAAGATTGAGGAAAGATGTACACGTTCGTAAGTACTTGCGTAACTGTTTCGTGAATCTGGCCCCTGGTCTCTGACCAGACCTTCTGGTTGCTGGTCTGATCAACCAGGCTGTTTAATGCGGCTGCTCAGCTGAATGTGCCAATAAACTTAAGCAAACAGGTTTCTGGCCAACTGAGCTCGCATGTTTGCACAAGTTCATTGGCAAAGTCATACCTGCTCCTTTCATCTTGCTGCCTGCCCTTCTTCCTTTCCCTGTTCCCATGCTTTGTCCCTATATATTTATTATCATCTTGCTATTGTGCCATTTGGTTTTTGGCAAGGGGAGGGGAAGAGTTCAAAGGCCGTCAGAACTTTATTTTCATTTTTCAAATCTAGTAGTTGGCATTATATTAATGCTCCTTTGTGAGATGAGCATAAAATTTTGCCATCCAAATACATGTATATTTCCACATACCTGTTAATTTTTGTGCACATTCATCTGGCGATAGAGAGAACTTTGCACCAATGGAGAGTATTGCTTGCAACGACAGTGACACAACAACAATCTGTCTCTCACTTTCTTGAAGCTTATTGTTTTCTGCAAGAACTCTAAAATAAAAAAAATTTAAATAAATTTCTGTACAGTATCTGTATCTGTAGTATTACTGTTATGTAAAACTAATTACAGTACTGTATCTATAAATTATTTCAACACACACAGGCCCATAAGACAATACTCATTTGTGTATTTATTTAATTACCTGGTAGATATAGTGTACTGTAAGGAATTACCATATTTTCTGATAGGAGGCATATTTTTGGTCCACCACCAACCGAATATACACTATGCTGTATTTATATGCACAATATCATATTTTTATTGAAATTCACTTTCAATACATGTATAATGAAATGTACTAAAACTGTTTTCACCACAAAATATCCTAGAAAACAAGTTGTGTCCTATACACTGACAAATGTGGTACAGTACTTTATAAGATAATTATCATGGAAACATGTACATTAGAACTTGGAAAATACATGTGCATACCTATACAATTCATCATGGCTCTGTTGACTGATCAAGACCACCTCAGCTGATGTAATACAACCACTGCATGCCAAGCAGTCGTTCAGTGTAATCTTGGCTTTCTCATATTTTACCTGTAATTAAAAAAATATTTATAAAGTTAAAATTATAAGGGACATATCTGGTTTTACAGTGGGTCTGCATTCTTATACAGTATATTCTGGGATTAACTCCTTAAGTCTAGTGAATATTTGTCACTTTTATACTATAATGTATATCCACAAAGCCCCCAATAGCATGTTTCTGCATATCATACCGGTGTTGAAAGAGCATCTGCGCCGTCATCTTCAATGCGAATCACACCTCGGCCGGATTTCTGTTCAACCTTCACAGGCTTGATGCATTCCTGTGGACAAGAAAATGCAGGCTTAATTCCTATTTTCAGCAGTATAGTACTGCTATACTTGTTTATTTTCTTACAAAATAAACAGCGTGTACTTGTTTATTTTGTTACAAAATAAACAAAGGTAATATTCAAGGCCATCTTGATTCACTCAATAAAAATAATTATTTGACTGTAAATAAAAAGAACTCTCCTTTCCAAGCAAGGCACTGGAGTGCTCCTGTAGGGAAGATCCTGTGCTTCCTATGGACATGGTTAAGGAATCAGGGTTGTTGAGGAGCCTGGGATTAGGATATACACAGCTTCCAACCAGTCCTGTTGTCAAGACTCAGAAGCTGGCTGCCCCACTCAGTATCTGGGTGACCTTGCAATGATTTCGGGACTCAACATCCCCACGACCCGGTCCTTGATCAGGCCTGACCGAAACTGGTTATCAGCCATTAGCTACACCAGTACCATATGGATGGTACTGTGCTAAGTACTGTGAAGTGTTATCACAGTTGTTTAAATATTGAAAGGGTGGTGGAAGCCATATAGATCATAATACTGTACATACATTTATACTGTACAGTACTAATGAAATTGCTTCAGAAATGGGCAACACCATTACTATACGAGCCGAGAACTGGTGCTCAGGCAGCTGAGCATTTCAGGAAATCTGCAAGTTTAGCCACCTAGATATTTCACTTAATATGTCAGCAAGTACAGGTATAGCACCTATCTTGAGGTTATCTTGAGATGATTTCAGGGGTTTTTAGTGTCCCTGCGGCCCGGTCCTCGACCAGGCCTCCACCCCCAGGAAGCAGCCCGTGACAGCTGACTAACACCCAGGTACCTATTTTACTGCTAGGTAACAGGGGCATAGGGTGAAAGAAACTCTGCCCATTGTTTCTCGCCGGTGCCTGGGATTGAACCCAGGACCACAGGATCACAAGTCCAGCGTGCTGTCCGCTCGGCCAACCGGCTCCCTACAGAGTATTAAACAAATTCTATATCCAATTTGCAAAGAAAACTTCCTAAGGTGTCTGAAGACCAGAGATATTGCCCTACAAAGAATGCAGACACATTGGATAAAGCAGTTGTTGCTGACACCTCAGAGATAGGTCACACTCAAGGACAAAAATGATCCTACACTACTTACCTTGAGGTTACCTTGAGGTGTTTTCGGGGCTTAGCAACCCCATGGCCCATTCGTCAAAGCCTCCTCGTTGCTGAACTGGTTAACTAGGCTGTTGGACGCGGCTGCTCGCAGCTTGGCGCATGAGTCACAGCCTGGTTGATCAGGTATCCTTTGGAGGTGTTTGTCAAGTTCTCTCTTGAACACTGTGAGGGGTCGGCCAGTCAGCAGAAGGAATGTGAAAAAGTAGCAGAGATGGCCACCAGTATAAAATTTGTATGATGCCTTGCAAGAGTGCACCATGCAGAGTTAGGTCAATCCCCTTGCAACAGCCAAAAATAAATGGCAGGGGAGGCACCAGCCACCCTCAACACACACAGGGTAGCTACCACCACTGGAGCAAGAACCATGCACCTTGCATGTCCAGAAGGCCCACAGGAGCTTCCAAAGCCTGCTGATCCCCGGCACCTCTTGCCCAAGCCAGCTCCAGATCCCCGCTTGACCCCCCTAAGACCAAGCTGAAATATGTAAGAAAATCTATCAACACCCCCCTTGACCCCATGGCAATATATGCACCAGCCGTTACAATCACCAGGCACTGGATGAGGTGCCTTACGGCAAGATGTAACCCAACGGGCAGCAAAAGCAACACATTTTTCTACACACCCCAAGGAGAGCAGAAGTTAGGCATCTACACAGCCTTGAAGTAAGTATAATATACTTGCTCCATACTCATTAGCTTATGTGCAGATAATGAGATGGGTTTGTTAATTCTACATTACCTATCCCTAAGTTATCACATTTCCAAATTGTACTACTAATTGGTTAATACTTCTTGCCAACCTGCTAGAGGATGGTCAGGTGAGGGTGAATGCTGGTAATATGACCAGTCCACAGCGAATCATCATCAGTAACTCCAAGAATGATTCAGTACAGACACTCGAGAGATACCACACATCTTCAACATTCACCAACAACAATGTAGCACTCAATGTGTCCAGTTCCCACCCCCTCACACGACGCTTCAGCCTCGACACACAGAAAACAGCCAGACTCTGGCCGCATTGTGCTTCCACGCTCTCGTCCCGCACCGAGTTCCTCGACTCTGCCCGCATTCAGAGTGCCGCACTCTACGACTCTCGCCCTGCATCCGAGCTCTCTATCACCTGCCCCACTCAGCTCTCTGCCCAGCTCCAGGCTTCATTTTAACTACTACAACACTTCACTTTTATCTTTTAACTCAGTATCTTTTATGCTGTATTTCATGTTTTACAAATAAAAAGAAAAAACACTTAACAAACCAACAAACCAGTGTGTCGGTTTGTTTGTCACACTGCCAACACACCGACTGCTGTAACCAAGACTATACTAAATAAATATAAAAAAATACTAAAGTCTATGTCTACTCAACCAAATACTTACACGTAATCTTACGTTACAGCTTAAAGTTGAACCGAGAATCATTGAAAGACCAGCTACCTGGGAGAGGACTAGCTACCTGGGAGTGAAAGACCAGCTACCTGGGAGAGGACTAGCTACCTGGGAGTGAAAGGCCAGTTACCTGGGAGAGGACTAGCTACCTGGGAGTGAAAGGCCAGTTACCTGGAGGAAGATAAGCAGTTACCAGGAGGGGAACAGCTACCTGGGAGTAAGACCAGCAACCTGGGAGAGAAAGACCAGCTACCTGGGAGGGGAAGGCAAGCTACCTAGGATGGGGCAAAAAGTTACCTGGGAGGGAGCGATGAAGTCATCGAGATCAGAGAGCTGAAGAACCCCGCTGAACCCTGCCATAGCCACCTCCAGGCACCTGACGCAGGTTTTAAAGAGTTCCTTGTTGGTCTTCACTCATAAAATTGCCAAATAAACTTGTAGAATGGTTCAAGACACACTTGAGTGTTGTTGGTGTTGCTGAAGAGGACCGTGGAATGCGTCCATCAGCTGTCAATGTTTACTACGGGGGGCTGCCAGGCGCCTCGGGGTCCCTCTAGTCGTGTTTTGATATATAAAAAATTATCTAAACAAAAATATTGTTTAATTCATTTTATAGTTTATTTTGTAGTTTAATAGTTTATTCAAATTAGTTTTGTGGTAATTAGTAGTGCCTTGTTGGTATTTAAGGCCAAATTCAACATTTGGCCTTAAGGGGGCATAATTTCGAAAAAATATTAGGAAAAATCGTAATTTATTCATTTATTTATATACAAGAAGGTATATTGGGTTTATGAGAGTACAGAGACTTGAAGTTTTACATTCTTGTAAAGCCACTAGCATAGTAATATTCTGAAATATATATAGAAGGATAGAAGCACAAACCAGTGAATCTGTACGATGGTACAACATGGTTGCAGCTGGCAATCCCAATCAGTATGGCCGAAGAGGAGGAGGACGAGGGAGAGAATCTGTAATAGCGAGAATCCGTCTTGGATACAAATATCCATGGAGATTTGGAATGGAAACAACAGTTGATCAGCGAAGTTGCAGAATCTGTGGTGAGAGTGACGGACACCGCCTTGACCACTATCTACGTGAATGTGAACACCTGAAAGACATTAGGAATAACTGTAGAATAATAAACCCCACATTGTTTGAGTTAGGAAAACACTATTTGTCAAATGTTGATACTGTTCTTAAAAGATTTCCCCATTTTGCACCCGCAAGATAACGTAAGCTTTTAAGGATTGATACAAGTTAATCTTCTTGTTTGAGGAGCTGTTCACTTGAGACAGTTAAGCAAGTCCCAGCTGTGTCTTGGGTACAAGTGACAGGATGAACAACCCAGCGGGTTTTCTTCCTATTGGGGAGTGTTGTACATGCTGCTATGGCGGTATGTTCACTCACAAGATGAGTGGCGCTGCCCAATAAACTCGCCCCTCGGGGCAAAATTTAAAATTTAAATTCTGAAATATTTTTAAAAATACTACGTGATTCTGGCAACACCGTTATACAAACTGGTTTTTTTATATAATTAAAACTTACAAACCAGTAGTTAAGGTAGTTATAGTCAATTTTCTAGCCGCCATTGTCCCCAATCCAGTCACCTCGGCTCGGGTGCGCGGAAGGGTATTGCCTCATACGTTGTAAACTATAAAATGGCGTTGCCCGAGGCCCCGAAATGCTGTGGAATTAGTGGCTTTAGGTATTATATGTTTTAGCTCTCTCTATAAATCCAGTATTATACTGTAATTCGTCTACTATGTATGTATTTTTACCTGAATAAACATTTTGATTTGATTTGATTAATGACATAGAAAATCACTCCTTATTCAAAATTCAAAATGTTTATTCAGATAAAAGTACATACATGGAAGATAAGTTACAAACGTAATGTTGGATTTATAGATAGAGCTAGTACATACAATACATGTATGTATGCATGCCTATATTGTATAATACATGTACTATTATGCATAATAGTCCAAAAGTTTTGTCCGAAACGCTGCGCGTACCAGTGGCTTTACAAGAATGTTAACACCATGCTATGTATCCTCACAAACCCAATGTAGCTTCTTGTATATATTTATAAATAAATAAATAAATAAATAAATAATAAATATACAGTATTGTCATTGGCAAGTGTTTGGTGTGGGAGGAGTGGATGGCGGCTCAGTCACGTGGTGTGTTCCGTTGTGTGAGGAGCTGTCGTCAACCGCTCTCAAATATCGCATTTGTTACGTCTACTGCACAATGCCATTCAAGTCCAAGAGTGTGAAATTACGACAAGCACAACTGGCATACGCTCGTTGTGTATATCAGCGACAGAGCGCAGCTTTAGGGCAAGCAAGGAGTGAGGTAGAGGAGGATGTGGTGGCCTCCCAGCGTCAGCTATGAGCAGTGGGACGACGCCATCTTCACTCCACGCTACTCTCAAGAGACGACAATATCCAGCTCTATGGTGCTGCAAGTCTCCCTCTAACATACAGTTCAGCTTGAGGGGCTCCTGCGAGGTTCGCGGTCATCTTGGCGCTGATTAAGGTGCTGAACGCTCCTGGCTGGGCTTTCTTCCCTCACCTCATCCGGAGCTCATCTTTGAATTCAGCTGGGTTCTTAGGGCCAGACGTGTGTGGTCACTGCAGCTACCCAGGGGCTCACAGCACCGGGGGAGGCCGGAGTCTCTCTAATGGACGCCTCCTGGAGCGGGGGCGCCATGGACGTTGACAGCATTAAGTCCCTGAGAGGCAAACGTCTGCTGGAGAATGAGTCTGCTGACGCTGCTAAGAGGATGTCTTCACCTTCAGAAGACCTTCCTCCTGTGGTACCTCATTCCTCGTTTGTGGTTGTCCTAATTCAGTCAACAACAGATCAGTGCGAGTTTGGGAATCCCAGTACCTTAAGTGCAGCAATTGAGGCTTCAGTATTGTGGTCATATTGCCTGCCTGAGACCGTGTGTACCCTGGGTAGGAGTGCAGCACTGAAGCTGCACATCAGGCAAGAAGCTCTGCTGCACGTCCGGCAACCCGACATTATCAAGTCGAGGGACTGGCCTGTCAGGTGCCGACAGGTATTGTCTCAGGCCTGGTATTGGAAGATTGACCCAATAGACCCAAGTGTTGAAGTGGATGATATCCAGGCCATTCTACAGGTGTTAAGGGGTGCATCAGTAGGATTATTGGAAGTTACCAGGATTTGCGGAGCAGCAGAACCGACAGTCCATGGGGTCCGTGTAAAGTTTGACGGACCCCTTCCTGACTGAGTGGCACTGCATAGGACCTCGTATCAGGTCCAGCCCTACAACTTTCCCATGTTATGATGCTATGGTTGCCATCTTTTGGGCCACAGTCGCCTCGCCTGCCGTAATGCAGCATGCTGTGCCAACTGCGGCAAAACAGGTCATTCAGACAGAGATAATAGTGGGTGCTCTGCCCCATCTCGCTGCCTTTTATGCCATGGCCATCATAAGATTAGTCAAAGAGTTGCCCAGTATATCTTAAGGCTCTCAAGTCGGGGACCCCTCGACAAGAGTTGTTCCAAAGGTTGAGCCTGCTCCATTGGATAGCTCTGATGATCCTCTCCATGGTCTCCTAGGCACTTTCTCAGGGTTTTGTGACACCGGCAGAACATATGAGGCCCAGAGCGAAGCACTCGCCAGTCACAGGCGCCGTCAAGAGGGTTCACAAGCCGATAAGCCGATCACCGCTTCCGCCAGGCAGAGATGCATTGCTCAACAGCCGTTGGGCTGACTGTCATTGATACCACACATTTTACTTACTTTGTATGAGGGCTTTATGGCTTTTTTCTGGTGGTTCCTCCTTTGGAGACGTCTGTACACAGGTGGTCAGAAAGTTAGCTGTTGTATTTCAGGGATAATGACACCCCATCCTGAGAATACTGTGGTGTTTTAGAATGCCCGCTCCCTTTTTAAGAAGACGCACTTCCTACGCAATTTTTATTGGCAGCGCACCACCGTTGATTGTAGGACTCTGCAGACTTGGCTTATTGACGATCTTTCCTTGATGGTGCTTGGGTATTCGGTCTATAGACAGGATCGACCGGTACAGGGTGGAGGGGGACTTGCCCTCTTGGTAAGGATTCAGTCCCAAGCTCCTTGCTCCGGATTCACTCCTTCCCGGGCGGGCATTAAGAGTTCATGGCAGTGAAGGTGGCCCTGTTCCATGGGTGGGGCACCTTTGGAGTTCTGTATAACTCTTGTCTACCAGTGACGAAGGAACTAGAACATTATTTTGGTCCGATCACGGACACCTGTTTCGTCAAGGGTGACTTTAACGCTCGGCACTCATGGCAACCTATGCTATTGGGTCGCCACCACAACACGGCTGGCTGAGCCCTGTTTCAGTTTCTCCTTGATTCCCCAGACCTCTCCTTACAAACACCATCTGGTTTAGGATAGGCCCGCTCAATGGGCATACTTCAACGCTCGATCTCTGCATTGGAAGAGGTGGCCCTTCACGATGGCTCAGATATGGACCGGGCCGTACCTAGTAGTGATCACCTGCCCATCATTTCCTTCGGGGCATTGTTCTTCCTGCTCTGACCACGCGAAGATCCAAGTGGATCTTCTCAGAGGGGTGCTTTGCTATGAGACGGATGACTGGTCGACCCTTTTCCCCAGTTACGGCAGATCTGCATGGGTTAGTGGATGCTCTCTCTCTTCACTGTAGGCTCTTGGCATTTCAGTAGGACTATAGTGGCCAGACTACCAATATCCTTCCTGCCGTGGGGCTTCATGGTGGACTCCTGAATGTCGGCAGGCAGTACTAGACCGGCAACGTGCATAGAATTTGTGGCGGGTCTACCCTACTCCATTGCAATGGCAAAACTTGCGCAGGCTGGACGCCAGGTGTAGGCGGACCATGCCAAACTCAAGTCCTGGGCTGATTATTGTGCCTCTCTCCGACTTGACTCCTCCTCTGCGGGAGCCTGGGCCTATGTTCGCAAGATGACAGGGAGGTACTCCCAGCCTTCCATCCTATTCAGAGACCCCAGTGGTAATTGGGGCCTGGGGAAAGTAGAAATAGCCGAACTTTTGGCTGACCACTTTGAGGATGTTTACCATTCCCCGCTCCTTTCTGCGGGTTCCATGGGTTGGAGCTCCTGACAGGGTATAGGACTAGCTCAGGACCTGGATTGTCCATTTACATCTGTTGAACTTGATGAGACCCTGTCACTATGCCAGGGATAGACAGCGTCCCATATGAATTTGTTCAGAGGGCGCCCTGGATCTTTCAATCCCACCACCTTCACTTCTACAACGCCTGCTGGTCCTCTGGTGTTTTCCCTGACCCGTGGAAACAAGCCATTCTTTTACCATAGCAAAAGTCTGGGAAGGATCCATCTGTCCCGAGTTCATCTCGGCCCATAAGTCTGCTTCCATATCTCGGGAAATTGATGGAACATCTTGTTCATACCCAGCTACAATGGGTGGTGGAAACCTTAGGTCTCCTACCTGAGGGTATCAGTGGATTTCGGTCGGGAAGAAGCACGATGGACTGCCTCCTCTCCTTGGATAATCGAATAATTGACACTTATCGCCGGAGAAGAGTGCTCCTTGCAGCATTCTTCATCATTCTCTGACCAACCTCCTTGGTCTATCTCAGAATGACATGACTGATTGGTACTGTAACAAGAAGTTGAATGCAGCAACCAACGAGACACACCACCAAGTCCGGAAAGGCTCCTGAGAAAGCTGGCCCCAGCTATGGGGACTGGTGCCTTAGTGTCATTGCAATGCTACCTTGAGGACCCACATTTCGGACCATTTATAATAGGTTAGCATGTTTTAGTGTTATATTTTGATATTACATAATGAATAAATGTAAATATAAATGTGCTGGCAAATATATATTTTTTCATTTTGTTATCAGGCGATTTTCATGGAACTTACACACCTTATGTATGCTTATCAGTATGGGTGGCAATCTTGAAAGGAATCAGTTGTCAACCTCAGCCACAGGTAACAGAATCTTTAACTTCATTTTGTTCAAGCAAGTCATTTACAACTACAAGGAGAGACTACTCTTTCATTATTAATCAATTTACATGAAATTTACACCTTATATGTAGTTTATGCCTCTACAATTTATCAAAAATATTTTATTCCTAAGTCCATTTATTGATTTTATAAATATAAACATAATGTTGCATAATTTTTCTGGGAAACTTTGAATATTTGTATTATTAAACTAAACATATTTTTTGTAATAATTCTTTAAAAAATCTTTTATATGTTAATGTGACAGCTGAGTGTCATAGAAATCATTTCAGTTGACAGTTGTGTTTGTAGTCATTTTAAAAATTGTTCAAAATTTGTTGAATAATAAATTTTGTATTTTTTTCTCCCATTCTATTAGGCTGCGATGCTGAAACTTGGACCAGTTGGAGCATTTTTCATATACAACTAGTCAATAAAGTTTGATTGAAATTGAACAACTTTCACTTTAACTTGTTATGGCCCCTTAAATCAGTACAAATTATCTAAATTAGTATTTTAAATAGTTCTTACATTCATTGCACTACCCACAACTTTACTATTCTACAAATCTCTTGAGTGTCATACTTTTCCTGATATCCTTAAAAAAAAAAAAGCGAGAGTAACGCCAGTTCATAAAGGAGGCAAAACAGCCGACATAAACAATTACAGACCAATATCTGGAGAAGGTGCAACAAGTCATTCCTGAGCTAAGTCATCTCTCGTATCAGGAACACTTGAAGACCACAGGGCTAACAACACTGCAATCCAGGCATGACATTGAAACTTAAAATATTGAACAAGTTAGAGGATGTTGATCCAGATACTTTCTTCTTCAGGTCAGATATAACACAAACAAGGAGCAATGGTTTCAAGCTCAAGCCACAATGTAGGATTGAGAACAGGAGATACTTTTTCACCCACGGTTATAAACCCAAGGAACCTCGTAACTGCCAAAACTGTGCTGTTTCAAAATATACCCAGTAAAAATCAAGGCAAATAGGGGGGACCTTTGACAAGCCGCCGGCTTCCTGTCCTCATCGAGGACACTAAAGTTAGTGGGCCTCAGGTAATTCAAGCAAACATCAAATATCAAATCTACTTTAAAATCTAATCAAATCTTTATAAAATATTTGAAAAAATTATTTACAAACGGCTCTATTCCTACCTTGTAAAGCTCAACATATTAAGTCCCTGCCAGTTTGGCTTCCGTTCCCAAAAAGAATACCAATGATACCATTATTTGTCTGCTTATAGGCTATCAGTTGAGGGCCACAGGGCCAACAGTGTTGTTAGCCCTGTGGTCCTCAACCATTCCTAGTACAACTTAGTTCAGGAATGATTTTAGTACTGTATTTCCCTAACTCTTATCTCTCAGCTCTAGGACTAGTCTGGCATACCTCCGGAATTTCTCCAGCTTCATCTCATTCGATAAGGTAATTAAGGACTCCATGCTGATGCTGCATGTTCCACAATTACTGGTAGTCTTATGTACTGTACGTGATATTCAAGGTCGTGCATGCTTCCTTATTCACATTTCTCAGACATTGGCCAGGAGTCAGACATCCTGGACCAGAGGATATTGATCCAGACCATTTCTTTAAATGGTCAGATTTAACACAAACAAGGAGCAACGGTTTCAAGCTCAAGCAGGACAAAACGGTTGATGCTATTTCACCCATAGTTATTTCACCATTGCTAATTTACCTATAAATGCCAATATTTTGGCATTTACGGATTTGGGGGATAGGTAGTTCCATGGGCTTGTATTACAAGTCCATAGAACCACCTATCCGCCAAAGCCGTAAATGCCGAAATTCAAAATCCAGCTCAATAAAATCAGGACAAATGGGGGGGGACCTTTTTCAAGCCACCAGCTTCCACCCCTCATTGAGGCCCTCAGGTAAATTATCAAATAGTATATGATTTATGTCTTGGTAGTACGTTGGGTTCGTTCTTGACTCAATTAGGTATCCCAGGTAGGACAGAAATGGGCGAGCACGAAAATCACATTAGATGTCGTTATGGATTTGCTCCCCAAGAATACTCCCAAAGGATAATGACGTCTAATGATGGATGCCACATGAAGCACTCTGCCACACATACAAACTCGTGCACTTAGAATCTTGCTCAGAACATTGTTTACACCTTGATAAAGGATTTAGGTTTGATCCAAAAATTTGGCAATAGTACACTTACACGTGTATTGGGTCTTTTCTTCACCTTCATTCAAGCATTACAGCATTCTAGTAAGTTTAAACATAAATTATCATCATATAACCTACAAAGCCAGTGCAGACATCATGTTCTTCCTGTTATATTATTAAAAATACATGGCTCGTAATTTACCTTTCAAACAAGAGATGCCATACCAGTGATGATACTCAAGACACTATTGCTCTCTAATACAGTAACAGCCCCATTCACAGCTGTAGAAATTCCCGACCTAGAGAGCATGCAAAGATCTTTTACGGCTAGACTCTGTTAAAGCGTCTAAATTATTACGACCCATTAAAATCTGTATTCTCTGACGTGCAGGTGAGAGAGATACATTATAAACTACACCTGAAAAATATTAAGGGGACCAATTCCAAACCTGCACACAGGAATAACATCATGTGAGACAAGGAGGCATGGCAATTTGTACAAAACAGCTGTTGAAAAGCAGAGGTGCAATAGGTACGTGAAAGAGAACTATCAACACCAAGGACACAATCTTTTCAACATGCTCTTGCTACACAAGTGCTTTTGGCCAAAACGCCTTGCGTAATAGTGGCTTCATTAGTTTGTTTAACTCCTGTCCGCACAATTGTACATTACTCATTGTCCCCCACAATTGTACATTGCGTGTTCTTTGTACATATTCTTTTGAACAAAAAAATTAATTTGAATTTTTTGAATAAGGGGGTATAACTGGCCAACTTCTCAAGTGCTGAAAAGAGAATTAGACAAGCACCTCCAAAGGATACCTGATTAACCAGGCGGTGATTTTTATGTCAGGCTGAAAGCAGCTACATCTGACAGTCTGGTTGACCCCACCACCAACCAGGAGGCCTGGTCAGAGACGGCTGCAAGACTGTTGATTCTTGGAACCACAAGTTAAGGTACCAGTGAACTCCAAACGCCTGTATGCAAATATCATAAACATAACAGGAAAATTTAAAGTTATTAAAATTTATTTGCTACACTTTATTACAAAAACTTTAACAAGTTGGAATGCAGCAAAAATACCCAAAGGCAGGCCTAGCTTGCCACCAATAAAAAAAATACCTTCATCCATAATATTGGAAAAAATTCAGTTATCAGTCTTTAACCACTGCAAATATTATCATAAAATAATGGAATTATTTTTTGTAGAAAGTTTTTCATAAAAGTTTCAATTGTTCATTAAGAGCTTAATTTGCCACATTATGTGCTGACTTTATTACAAACAAAATATTCATAAATTCCACTGCAGTTAAAAGAATTTCTGTAACACTATTCAGCATCAACAAAACCCACGATAACTCCTATGGTACCAAATGAAATTTTTCAACAAGAGAGTATAATTAATAATACCAAATATAATACTGTAGTCACAAGTACTGCATTTATAATGGTCTATTTTTAAGGCTGTGCTTACAAAAAAATAACTTTGTAAGATGTGCATTATTACCACACATTAAGAATTTCACCAGCCTGTTTTCTTGTGATGTGTATTAGTAATGCAATAAGATACCCAATAAAGTTTTCAAATATAAAGTTGTATTTCCATTACAAATCAAACTGTACTCGCCTAGTTAAACTGTGTTAGAATTAGAATGACCAGATGCAAGTACACATTTTAATTAAAATATTTATATCTGTATGCTGGCTATAATGTGTTCACAAATACCGTCAATAAGCCATATAGTATTTACCAACACATCAATGTGAAACTTAAATGAAAAACAGAAGTTAGGAGGAGTATATTTAGTGTGATGCACAGTAGTGAGGGCCATACTGATCATCTCTCCCACGCATCTTACGCAGTTCAAACTTTACTTCTTTTTCTTTGAGCTGGTCACTGAGGGGACAGCTGGAGCAGCACTTGTTTGGCCCATCTTGTTTATGTAATATAATCCAACCATAGAACAAAGCAAACTGGAAATACAGAATATATATATGTAATCTCTCAAGACTAATAGAAACTGGATAGCCAGGGCTCTTAATACAAACAATATTATGAAATATTTTAAAAATACAATTTCTCTATATTAAGAGTGGGAAAGAGGGTGTGAATTGTGAAGCTATATCCACTTCCCTGCTCACCCACTGGGTAGCTTCTGCTGTGTATGTCAGCTGGTTAGTTTGGGATGATGAATGAGAGGGAAGTAGTGAGGTGGTGATAAGTATATGGTGGTGAGCAGCAGGTAATGACAGTCGAGTGGTGAGGTGGTGGTGGTGAACAGCGGGTAATGACAGTTGAGTGGTGAGGTGGTGGAGGTGAGCAGCAGGTAATGACAGTCGAGTGGTGAGGTGGTGGTGGTGAACAGTGGGTAATGACAGTTGAGTGGTGAGGTGGTGGTGGTGAGCAGCAGGTAATGACAGTTGAGTGGTGAGGTGGTGTTAGTGAACAGTGGGTAATGACAGTTGAGTGGTGAGGTGGTGGTGGTGAACAGTGGGTAATGACAGTTGAGTGGTGAGGTGGTGTTAGTGAACAGTGGGTAATGACAGTTGAGTGGTGAGGTGGTGTTAGTGAACAGTGGGTAATGACAGTTGAGTGGTGAGGTGGTGTTAGTGAACAGTGGGTAATGACAGTTGAGTGGTGAGGTGGTGGTGGTGAACAGTGAGCAATGTGGTGTGTGTGTTACATTTGACCTTTTAGAGAAGCATTAATATCATCAAACTTATTCAGTATAATATTTTAAAGGCCTCGATGAGATCAGCCCATGGTTTACCTTTACATTTTACAGGTTTACACATTATTATGAGCTTAATTTTTAACATTTTAATAAACTCATCTTTCAACATGGCAACCATTAAAATTAATACCTGTATGTAATAAATACCTGCCTTCAGCAATTAATATACAAATTAAAAATCTGATAATGTGTAAATGAAGCAGCCCAGCCTCAAAAAATAATACTTCCAGTAATTATTTGGTCACGTGCAAAAATGGACCGTTGGACCCAACAAGCTAATGTTATGTACAACTGGATTACCCCAAATAGCATGTTTATAAAACAACAAAAACTAAAGAATCTGTCCAAGGTGTAGATAAGTAATCATAGGCCTAATACATGCTATCCTAGGCCTAATTTAGCTCATATATATGTGCGATACTTAGCCTAAAAAAGTTTAGGGTTGGTTTATGGCTCTTTTTCAAGCTCTCTATAAATTAACAGTACATTAACATGAACTATGTTGTCCACTACAGTAAATTTTTTTAACATTCTGCCATATAGTTGCTATAATAAAAATTCATTGTGCCAGGGGACAGGCAGCCATACATATATACGGCCATACCACATTAAGAACACCGCTTCTCGTCTGATCAGCGAAGTTAAGCAACGTTGGGTTTGGTTAGTACTTGGATGGGTGACCGCCTGGGAACACCAAATGCTGTTGGCAATAACGTTGACCAAAGAGCCAGAGCTCAACCCCCACAAGCATAATTAGGTAAGTACATACACAAATGCGCGCACACAGATTACATATTACACACACAGAAAACGCACAAATTACACTTAGGTAATTACACAGTACTGTATATGCATGCATGCTTATATTGATGGCCCATCTCCTAAGGTCAAATTACTGATCCTCCCCAGGATGCAACCCCATAACAACCCTGACTAACTCCTGGGTACCTACTTACTGCTAGGTGAACAGAGGCATTAGGTGATAGGAAATATGCTCAACCATTTCTGCCTCGTCTGGGATTCGAACCCAGAATTCTTGATTGCGATTCGAGAACGAACCCAACCCTATTACCGGGACCTTATTTCTTAGTACAGTATATATTAATTACTTTAGTGCTATTAGTACTTTCATGTTTGAAGATGGCTCGAAATAAAAGGTAGGTGCAACTTACCAAACAGTAACAGAGACTCTGTGAACCATGCCCGCAGCAGAGCAGGCCAGCACCATACAAAGTGCTACTTCAGGAATCACACGCGCCTGGAACCCCTTTCCAAACACAATGTTTTCCAAGTTGCTCAATGCCTGCTTACAAGTTAAGGAAGAGCCTAATAACTAAGGGTACAAATTTATATATTTCCCATTGTCAGGGACAGGAAGCTTGTACTTAGGCTGAACTCCCAGGTAATTTACCTATTTTACATGCAAAGAGAATAGAGGCATCAGATGAAAGAAAATGTGCCCAATCACTTTTCTCCTGCCCAGGGATTGAACCCGGGACCTTGGATTGTGAGTCAAGGATGTGAACTATTTTTCTACAGGTCTCATGGTTCACTTATAAGAACCATTGTCTAGTTAAAACATATTTAACATTTAATATGATGAAATGCATATGTGAAATCAATATACAGGTACGTGAATCCTGTGCATTATTTCACACACAGTTCAATTCAATCAGTAAGTTTTAACTAGTTAGTGTTAGTGACATGACACGGTGGATGTGTGTCATCCGGTCATCCAGGTTAAGATCACAAAATGGTTGACCGCTAGGACAGCCTTGAACTTGGATCGAGAGTTTTAAAAAAGCCTAACAGGCTTCCTGTTCCTGACAATAATATACCATACCAACTTTTTCTACCAAGACTATCATTTACCACTATGCATTAGCCAAGTTGTTCCTGTGCACCCATTAGACTTTGTCAATGAAAAAAAAAAAAAAAAAATTGTTGAAATGCATTTGAGAGAAATATTCACACATTAATACTGTACCACAAAGGGGCATACAAAGCAGTTTGATATTGTTGGTGACAAGAAAATTCCTGAAAATTTACAAGTAGCTGCAGTAGTTCTTGATGATCATCATACTGAAGTACCATACACCATTAACATGACCTTTTTTGCTGCTATAATCAATTGTAGTAACCCGACAACAAAAATGGCATTCTCTGCCATAATCGATTTAACTCAAGGGACGGATTATTTAATAATAATAATTCATTGAGTAGGGGAGACAGGAAGCCTGGGTGTATTCACACACATTCGGCTTATGTAAAGCCCCCCCCCCACCCAGGATGTAGCCCCACAAGCTGACTAACTCCCAAGTACCTACTTACTGCTAGGTGAACAGCTGCATTAAGTGAAAGGAAATGTGCCCAACCATTTCTGTTCCGCCCAGGATTCTGACCCGGAATTCTCAATTGTGCATTGGGAAAGAACCTGACTGATACCGGGACCCTCATTTATTCCTCCATATCACAGAATGTTCAACAAAGTGCTCTGGCCTACAAAATTTGAGCTTGAACTCTCAACTGGCTACAGAATAAAATATCACCTGAGCGATAGCACCAGATATGACTAATGTATTTGTAGCCATAAAAGACGCACCCTCATTCATGCATTGCAAATGGCTGACAGACGGATGAAAGTTGAACATTCTGTTAAAATTTCTTGGATTATTTTTCATTTAGATAATGAATAAATGTCTTAATGGTAACAGATTCATTAAATAATGTATGACATATCAGGTGTGGGTTATGTATACTGGGTAAGATGATGCGACCTTCCTAAATAACTGCCGACCTATCGTAAGTTTGTGATAACAGACTGTGATAACTGTTTGCTTTCAATATTATATTATTAGCAATCATTTTTGTGCCTCTGCCCAATGTTTCTCGCCGGCGCCTGGGATTGAACCCAGGACCACAGGATCACAAGTACAGCGTGATGTCCGCTTGGCCGACTGGCTCCCTAAACATGGTCACTTTTACCCAAGGGAAGAAGGTATTGAATGTCAAAGATCTCTTTTTTCCTGGTGAATACCAAATCCAGCATTGAAGGAATGTCCCCTTTCCTCTGCCTTATTGCTTGTTTAACGTGTTGATACTAGTACAGTACATACATAAATTTCTCCAGGATGAGCTTTACAAATCTACCCGTCCAAAAGTCCTCCGTTCTTGCTCCGTAAACCTAGCAGCCGTCTATGGAATTCAAGCTGAAGTCATCAAGTACCAAGAGTCATGATCAATCTTCATCAGCTCTTAGTATTATCTCTCTCATGATCATTATGAGGCCCTCTTGAATGTCATCCTTAACTTTACCTGAACATTTATAAAATCAACTAAAATATGTACTTAACAATTGCACTATGAAGTTTTTGCCGAAACCAGGAGAGCAGTGAGGTGGTTACGAGGCGATGCCTGTCTCATATTTACCCAGCCTCCTAAAATCACTGATATTTTCCTTTGTTGTGATGACCTCCTAAAACTACTACTATTTTCTATTTTTTTCCTCATCTGCTGTCCTGTTTAGCCTAGATGATATTTCCTTTTCTAAACATCCAAAAATTATTATGGACTTACTTCTATCTGCAGTGTTTTGTACTAATTTACTGTTGGTAACCAGTTCTTTCCTAAATACTTGTCTAATTCCTGCATCTTGTTGCTCATTTCTGTTTTTGAATTTCAAACATACTTCTTTGATTGTTTCCTTCTCTTTTACAACTTGTGTATACATTTCTTTTATTCCTCTTTGCACTTTTCCAGTCCTTTATTATTCTCCTATATTAATTAAAGCTGTCAATGAAGTTTCTCTTAGCACATCCTTGCCTAACTCCCCAGTTGGACTGGCCTACATGGTGATTGAGTTTTTTTCCATGCGAGTATTTTTCCTGTTAATTTCTTCAAATTCACCCTGCTTCATTTTCTATGTCTCATTATCTTCGACTAGTTCCTTGATTTGTGCCTCCTGTATCTTCCCTTTAAATTGCAAAATTCATTCCTGAGACTTTCGCCTTCTCGTTCTAATTTAAGAACGTTTCCTTCATAATTTCTTAGCAAGTCCGCAATTATCTCTAACCTGCCATGAAAGCCTGCCAAGAACAAAATATACCGTAATTATGGTAAAATTCTATCCTCAATAAGTTTAGCATTTTGCAAACACAGCATTTTGGCTGTTTACGACTGAGGTCCTTGACTATATCTGGTCTTAGCCACTAGGTATTTCAAAAATATTTGTGTAAACTCACACAAGTAAACTGAGATATACACAAGGAACTCACACTACAGTACTGTAATGTGATGTACCAACGAGAAAATCAATTGGACTAATTTGGGGATTTGAGCTCTCTGACCTGGGTACTCCCAAGCCGTGCACTTTACCTCTGAGCGATGACATGGTATGCTATACAACCTGTGATGCCACTGAATACACAGGAAATTTAGGGGGGTCCCTACTGAAGCCAGTCCAGGTTTTACATATAACCCCTATGCACTCTGGCATAGGTAATGGACGTCTCCACCATATGCTCCAGCTTCAAATACACAAACTCGGACATATTTTGTTTATCTAACAAACAATATTGTACAGTATCTCCTTCCTTTTCTCCTGCATTATTACAATAATTATTTATCCAAAGGTAGCAGCAAGCTGGGAACATTACTGAACACTGTGTCACAGGATATTCAAAAGGTCCTAAGGAAAGGTTTATAAGGTAATTATCACAAAGCAATTATTACACTACAGTAATGTGATGTAGTGCTTAATACTTTAGTGCTCAATACTTAAGTTGGAACTAAACAGCACTTGGAAGGAATACAAAAACAATGATCTGGGATAGGAAGGAAGGAACGAATGCCTATCACTTAGGACCCCAATCAGAAAATAAAAAGACAAAGCAATTGACATCAAAGGTGCACTATTACAATACTGTAATTATAAATTAGTCATTTATAAAATAAAAGGATACAGTTATCATGAAGATGAAGAGCCAGGATGCCACATATCCAGCAACAAGCGTCATGAGCCTCGTGGAGCCCAGCTGGTTCTTGTACATCTGCAGCGCCGAGAACACCAGGATGCAGCACAAGATGGCCAGGCCAAAGGATGCTCCAGTACTCACACCTGCACCAGTTTAACCATCATTTTGTGTTTCAAAAGAATTATATTTCAGCTAACATAAGCAATGAATATTTATATTGTGTGTAAATAATATATTTATGTACATGTTTTATATCTGTATATTTCAAGATTACAGTATGCTGTACTATATTTAATAAAAACAACTGGCTAATATCTTACCTCACTTGCTTCACCTGCCCACTCAAGAACATGAGCAAAAGCTCTGCATATTTTTAAGCAAATTACATACTGTGCAAATCAATTATTACTGTGCAATCACACAACACATGATGAAAAACAAGATCCACTTTAGTCTTCACTTGTTTAATAAAATTATCCAATGCAGGTGATGAGTCACAATAACGTGGCTGAAGTATGTTGACCAGACCACACACTAGAAGGTGAAGGGACGACAATGTTTCGGTCCGTCCTGGACCATTCTCACAATCGACTTGAGAATGGGCCAGGATGGACCGAAACGTCGTCGTCCCTTCACCTTCTAGTGCGTGGTCTGGTCAACAAAACTTGCAACCCGTTCTCGCAAATTCGTAAAGTCAATATTGACTTATTAACTACGTGCATAGGTGATATACTAAACATAATAGATACCTTAAAAAGATTCATAGAAAACACCGACCTTACCTAACCTTGTTAGTATCTTAAGATAAGCATCTTATTGCTTCGTAATTACACTTATTACTTAACCTGTACCTATTATAGGTTAGGTAATAATTGTAATTACGAAGCAATAAGATGCTTATCTTAACATACTAAGTAGGTTAGGTAAGGTCGGTGTTTTCTATGAATCTTTTTAAGGGTATCTATTATGTTAAGTATGTCACCTATGCACATATTTAATAAGTCAATATTGACTTATTAAATTTGCGAGAACGGGTTGCCAAAACTATCCAATCACTTGGTTTTGTCCAATTGATTTTTGTAATTAAAACACTTATCAAAGTATTATATTAAAAAAAAAACTACAGTGCACAGATCACAGAGCATGAATGACTGTGGATCCGGTAATTCAAGGCGTGCACTAAATGCTATAACCTGTGACAAAAATGGTGAAATAAAAGCCGTTCATTTAAATTATTTGGTTATAGTATTTTAATCACACACATTTCATAAATAATTTCTGTAGCGAGTAGATTATCCTCTGTAGCGAGTAGATTATCCCAATAATATACTCGCTCCAAATGCATTGTTAATATTCCTGTCAACCTTTGGAGATGAATGAGGTGAGGCGTTGCCCGGGCAATACGGTGAGGAGTTGCCCGGGCATATAAGCAGCAGGATAGCAAACATTGCATTTGGAGCGAGTATATTATTGGATAATCTACTCGCTACATTTCCAAATGTGATAGGACAGTAACAAAGGAACATGGGCACAGAGATTTGGAAATTTGTTGGATTTTTTTTTTCCTAGAAGATCTGCAAGCTCGTTGTGACAAAATATTGCTTAGCATTTTTGCAATTAGTTTTACAAAAGCTTTGTGCTCTGCTAAAAACATTTTATACTTACGATACTCAGAATTTCTAAAATTGACACCTGAAAAATTTTATTGTGAATGATTCAGTTTATGTAACAAACGTCAATTATTATTGTAACACAATTGTAATATAATCAAATACTGTATCTAGGGAATGTTTAAATCAAAATGAAGTGGAGAGAACCTGTAACATTTAGTGCTCAATACTTAAAAATTGTAAATAATATTCTGACACTTCTGATCTGTTGCATGTGCAAGAATTAACTGGCACAGGCATTCTACAAGAGTTGCATTCATCATTTAGTCCTACAAATATAACTAGCCAAGTTGTATAAGAAAAAGAGACCATGAATCTGCAAAAGTATTCTTGAAAGAAAAGGGAAAACTAGCTATTCTAATACAAGAGTCTGCTACTCTTAGTAGCAAAACTACTTTAACATGTATTTATTAAAAAAAAAATGCCTCACATCATCCACATTTTATTTTCCTAGACTTGACTGAATTGCATGGAACTACAAAAACAGTATGCAAATACTGTACTTGCTTAGCAGCCTACTTGCCTTGCTGAGCAAAGATTTCATCATGATCATCTTCGCAACAATTTTATTGCTTTTACGGGTGATGGTGCTAGCGTGACGCTGCTGGTAACTCTGATGTGGCTCAATCATTGTTGCAGAACGCTAATATTATGACTGTTAAAATCACTGTTGCAGAACGCTAATATTATGACTTAAAATCATTGTTGCAGAACGCTAATATTATGACTGTTAAAATCATTGTTGCAGAACGCTAATATTATGACTGTTAAAATCATTGTTGCAGAACGCTAATATTATGACTGTTAAAATCATTGTTGCAGAACGCTAATATTATGACTGTTAAAATCATTGTTGCAGAACGCTAATATTATGACTGTTAAAATCATTGTTGCAGAACGCTAATATTATGACTGTTAAAATCATTGTTGCAGAACGCTAATATTATGACTGTTAAAATCATTGTTGCAGAACGCTAATATTATGACTGTTAAAATCATTGTTGCAGAATGCTAATATTATGACTGTTAAAATCATTGCTTGGAATTGTCAGTTGGAAATACAATCTCCAAATATTTGATGCTAATTGTTTCATTATATATAAACTTAAAACTCCCTAAGAAACAAAGAAATTCAACAGCGTGTAACAAGGCTTCATAAACAGATGAAAAAATGGACGAGTCTTAGGAGCTACTGTAGATGTGCTTCAAGTTCTATCAGAAATGTTTGGCAATTTAGATAAGACTATGCATCACTATCATCACTTAAAGTATGTTAGCAGTGGCACTGATAAAAGTCGATCAAGAGATGACCAGTATACTTTCAGGGAGCTTCATCTATTCAACCTATTGACAGTTTATCCTTCATCTGGCAATTTAGATATGGATAAAATGAGTTAATGAACAAATCCACAAGGGGCCTTGACGGTTCAAACCTATGCCTTGGATGTTGCCAAACCCGCTCTAGTCAACTGTACCACGACATGGTAAAAGAATTGCAACCTGGAGTGCTACTGCCCTCACGAGGATCAGTAGCTCCAGGTTAGGCTTCAGTGGAAGCCTCGGGATCCTCATGCGGACAGCAGCACTCCAGGTTGCAATTCTCTTACCATGTCGTGGTACAGTTGACTAGAGCACGTTTGGGAACATCCAGGGTATAGGTTCGAACTCTCATCAAGGCCCTTGGGGATTTGTTCATTTGATATATCACATTGTGATTTCTGTGCGTATGAGTCTTAATGCTATTTAAATAATGAAGCTTGCATCAATAATACCGATACAAAGTTGTACAGGCCCTGATTCATATATCAGGCTGCACGTAGCCGCGACCAACAGCCTGGTTGACCAGACAACCAACCAGGATGCCTGGTCAGATAACGAGCCACAGGGATGTTGATCCTCGTAGCCACCACAAAGTAGTCACAAGGTAGGTAGGTAGGCACAGTATCATAAACAATGTAAAACTGTTATTTACACCAATTTCTACCCATGAATTAACTAGGTGATGACCAGACACTTCTACTATTTTTATTTTTACCAATTGCTGAGCTAGGTATCCGAGTGCCCACCAAGTATAAATTTATATCTTGAAGAATAGTAATTAGCTTATCTCTGGAAACACTGAAATAGCCTTTTTAAAAGCAATCATGGCATAGCCTGCACAGATATATCAACTGTGGACGACATAGTGCCAGATCTTGTGCATAGGGTATTAAAACTTTTGAAAAATTAAAATTCTTCTGAATGAAAACAAGGTTTTAGCAGAATAAACCTAAAAGTGACAAATGAGGTCTGGACTGTCAAGCATATGAGCAATATATACAGTATACAGTATAGTATATCATTAAACTACAATCTTTTGATTCAAAACTTGAAACCAGACATTAATTAGTTTTGTCGGGGACAGACAATGTACAGTATAAATATACTGTACTCCTGTACTCTACTGTATCTACACATGAGGCTTATATTGCAGTCCCCCCCCCCCCCCCCAATGTAAAACTACTGACCTTTCCCAGAATGCAACCCGACAACATTTGACTAACTCCCGGGTACTGATTTACTGCTAGGTGAACAGAGGTATCATGTGAAAAGAAATGTGCCCAGCCACTTCTGTTCTATCTGGGACTTGATCCCTGGATTCCCAACTCCGAGTTAAGAACGAACCCAACTGGACTGCAAAGACCCTTATATAGTATACACAAGTAGGTGTAGGTGTCATCATTCAGCAAATGACAAACATGAGTTGCCACGTTCAAGGAACTCACTATGTACCAAGTTTAGAAATTTTTATTGTTAGTATTACTTCAAGAATGAGAAATTTCAAGGAGTGCTTAAATAAATGTTTTTTTTTTTAAATTTTATTTTGCATTAATCATACTGGTTTGTGACTGGAATCATGATTAGCTACATATTACACAACCAAATGGTCTCGGGTTAAATTTCCAGACCGGATGTTTCCTTGCACCTGATGCCTCTACTCACCTACCCTGCCTCGAGGTGTTTTCGGGGCTTAGCGTCCTCGCGGCCCGGTCGTCGACCAGGCCTCCTGGTTGCTTGACTGGTCAACAAGGCTGTTGGACATGGCTGCTTACAGCCTGACGTAACAATTACAGCCTGGTTGATCAGGTATCCTCTGGAGGTGCTTGTCAAGTTCTCTCTTAAACACTGCAAGGGGTCGGCCAGTTATACCTCTGCTTTTCAATGGGAGTATTCTGCACATCCTGCCATGCCTCCTGGTCTCATGTGGTGTTATTTCTGTGTGCAGGTTTGGGACCAGACCCCTCTACTATTTTCCACGTGTAAATTATTATGTATCTCTCCCGCCTACGCTCAAGAGAATACAGATTTAGGCATTTCATTCGGTCCCAATTGTTTAGATGTTTTACTGAGTGGATTCTAGTAGTAAAGGATCTCTGCACGCTCTCCAGGTCAGCAATTTCCCCAGCTTTGAAAGGTGCTGTCATTGTGCAGCAGTACTCCATTTTAGAGAGCACTAGTGTTTTGAATAGTATCATCATCGGTATAGCATCTCTAGTGTGAAAGGTTCTTGCCATCAAACCTGTCATTTTTCTTACAGTTGTGACAGCAACTTTATTGTGTTCTTTAAAAGACAGGTCTTCCAACATGAGTACAACCAAATCCTTTACATTGCCTTTTCGTTCTATGTTATGATTTGCTTGGGTTTTGTACGTGGTTTCTGCTTTGATATTTTCATTTTTTTTTGTAGCGTATGAGCTGGAACTTATCTTCGTTAAATACCATATTTAAGGTAACAGGTAACTTAGCAGGTAACTGTTGTGGGTAGCATCCTAGGAAAGGTCAGTCATTGGCCTAGCCAAGGGGGACCTTGATAAGCTAAATAGGCCTCCCTTCCCCATTAGTAGGACAGCCCTATCCTAATATTCAATGAATATGGTCTCAAAACATCACAGTACAAGGTAAGGCTCCAACTGCTGACCTGTGGACCACAGCCACACTGGCCACACTGGACCAACCAACACCTGACCTGTGGACCACAGCCACACTGGACCAACCAACACCTGACCTGTGGACCACAGCCACACTGGACCAACCAACACCTGACCTGTGGACCACAGCCACACTGGACCAACCAACAGCTGACCTGTGGACCACAGCCACACTGGACCAACCAACACCTGACCTGTGGACCACAGCCACACTGGACCAACCAACACCTGACCTGTGGACCACAGCCACACTGGACCAACCAACAGCTGACCCGTGGACCACAGCCACACTGGACCAACCAACACCTGACCTGTGGACCACAGCCACACTGGACCAACCAACAGCTGACCCGTGGACCACAGCCACACTGGACCAACAGCTGACCTGTGGACCACAGCCACACTGACCCAACACCTGACCTGTGGACCACAGCCACACTGACCCAACACCTGACCTGTGGACCACAGCCACACTGGACCAACCAACAGCTGACCTGTGGACCACAGCCACACTGGACCAACCAACAGCTGACCTGTGGACCACAGCCACACTGGACCAACCAACAGCTGACCTGTGGACCACAGCCACACAACACGGGGCCAGAAACAGTGCCACTGCTCTGGACCCGCGACTCCTGAACCTATCTCCCTATGACATATGCTTCTCCACCGCACACACAGGTTGTGAGAGGCGCTTCCCGGGCGTGTACCAACGTACCCATGGTGTACCGTAGGCAGGAGCAGGAGCAGGAGCAGGAGCAGCAGCAGGAGGGTGTAAGAGCAGCAGACAGCGGCCGGTCACTGGCTGCCACGCGCCGCCCTCCCAGCTGCCACCTACACCTTATCTTTTTCTCGTTTTTCTCTTATTTTACCTGAATTTACCTCAGAGCCTCTGTCTCTCTAGTGGCCTCGACGAGGACAGGAAACCGACGGCTTGTCGAAGGGTCTTCCTCCCTCCCTCATTTGTCCTGATTTAACATGTAATAATTCGATACGATTTGTTAACATTAACGTTTAGTATTCGCCTGGCTGTACTTACCTAAATAAATATCCTACAAGTACTACCCCTAGATGTACTTACCTAAATAAACATGCTACAAGTACTACCCTAGATGTACTTACCTAAATAAACATCTTACAAGTACTACCCTAGATGTACTTACCTAAATAAACATGCTACAAGTACTACCCTAGATGTACTTACCTAAATAAACATGCTACAAGTACTACCCTAGATGTACTGACCTAAATAAACATGCTACAAGTACTACCCTAGATGTACTTACCTAAATAAACATGCTACAAGTACTACCCTAGATGTACTGACCTAAATAAACATGCTACAAGTACTACCCTAGATGTACTGACCTAAATAAACATGCTACAAGTACTACCCTAGATGTACTGACCTAAATAAACATGCTACAAGTACTACCCTAGATGTACTTACCTAAATAAACATCTTACAAGTACTACCCTAGATGTACTTACCTAAATAAACATGCTACAAGTACTACCCTAGATGTACTGACCTAAATAAACATGCTACAAGTACTACCCTAGATGTACTGACCTAAATAAACATGCTACAAGTACTACCCTAGATGTACTGACCTAAATAAACATGCTACAAGTACTACCCTACATGTACTTACCTAAATAAACATGCTACAAGTACTACCCTAGATGTACTGACCTAAATAAACATGCTACAAGTAATACCCTAGATGTACTTACCTAAATAAACATGCTACAAGTACTACCCTACATGTACTTACCTAAATAAACATGCTACAAGTACTACCCTAGATGTACTGACCTAAATAAACATGCTACAAGTACTACCCTAGATGGTCGACCAACAAACTGGGTCACATTTGACCTGTGTCACATTTATACCTGGCGTCACCAGCAGCTAAACACAGACAACAACTAACCCTATATACACACAGGAATCACAATAACGTGATGCATCAAATGAACAAAATCGAATCCTCGTCACGGCCCTTATGGATTTGTTCGTTTAACCCTATATATATATATCTCGGAAGACGAACAGGCACAAAACCGGAGTGGCAACGAACAGCTCACGAATATACAGAATCTAGAAGCTATCACTAATCCCAATAGGAACAACGAATGAAATTTAAGGTGCTTCTACACTAATGCCAGAAACCTGGTGAATAAACTTGAAGTATTGTGTGCATATGCTGAGGCCGAGACTCAAGACATCATTGGCATAAGTGAAACATGGGGACGAGAGGACGTTATTGAAGGGGAATTCCTCCTCCCAGGGGTACCATTCACCGTCCAAAAAGGAGACAACAACAAGAGCAGATGGTGTACTGATTTATGTGAAAGAGGACCTGAATGCAACCACCAATGATGAACTGAATCCCATGGGATCCTCAGGTCTGTATGGTGCGATATACTAGCTCAACATGGTAACGTAGTGGGAGTATGCTTCAGGGCTGACACAGCAACAGCAGAGGAAGTTACTGATGTGCATAATGTGATCAATGAGGCGTCACTAACCCAAACTGTAGAATACAAGATGGAAACTCTTATAATGGGGTTCAAGTTCAAGTATGTTTATTGAGATAAGCAATAAATACATCTCAAAGGGATAGAGTAGCTTAGGCTATTTCTACCCCCTTATAATGGGGTGATTTTTACCACGAGACAATAGAGTGAGTAAATCTAACACCACAAGCTGAAGGAGATCTATTTCTAGACTTGGTGCAAGACTCATTTCTCATACAACATGTGGTAGAGCGCACTCGAGGTAACAGCAGTCTGGACCTTGTGCTAACATTAGAAGAGGGCATGATCGATCTAATTCAAGTAGGGGGACAAGCTCACTCCATCGTGTGGTCACAATATTCTAAGATGGAATACAATTACAGAAACTCTGATGACCTTCTAGTTTACCATCGAGGAAACTATCAGGGAATGAGAGAGGAATTACAAAACACTTCATGGAGGGAGCTGATAGGTGATCTTGGCGTGGAAACATCATGGGAAAACTTCAAAAAAGGTAATTACTGAACTCCTACAAAGATATGCGCCAAAAAGGAGAAATAAAAGAAAGGGAACAAAAAAGGGAATGACACAAGTAGTAAAAAGAGCGCTATTAACTAAACGGAACCTCTGGAAATGGTATAAATTCACGATGAACATCATGGATTATGTGATATATAAAAGGCCATTAAATTCAGCCACCCAGGAAATCAGATTAGCCAAAAGAAATTACGAAAGAAAACTTGCCTAAAACATAACGGAAGATCCAAAATCATTCTGTGCATAAATACGTAGTAAAACCAAAACAAAGGACTCTGAAGGACCCCTAAAAGTTGAGACTAACCAAGTAGCAGTCTCCGTGGTGTAGTGGTAAGACACTCGCCTGGCGTTCCGCGAGCGCTATGTCATGGGTTCGTATCCTGGCCGGGGAGGATTTACTGGGCGCAAATCCTTAAGTGTAGCCTCTGTTTAACGCAACAGTAAAATGTGAACTTGGATGAAAAAACGATTCTTCGCGGCAGGGGATCGTATTCCAGGGACCATAGGATTAAGGACTTGCCCGAAACGCTACGCGTACTAGTGGCTGTACAAGAATGTATGTAACTCTTGTTATGTTGGATGATAGAAGGGCAGTCTGAATGAATACTTTACATCTGTGTTCACACCCGAAAGATTGAACGATATCCCATCACCCACACAAATGTTTGAAGGAGGTGAAGAGCATGAATTAAGGGATATACCCATTACATGCGACACAGTCAGCAAGAGCACTGAAAAACTAAAAGACTCAAAATCCCCAGGTGTGGATGGATTTCAATCCAAAGTCGTAAAGGAACTGGCAAATGCACTATGCATTCCACTGAAACTCCTTTTCAGGAAATCCCTGGACCAAGAGATAGTTCCCCTGGATTGGAAATATGCACATGTTACCCCCTATTTTCAAAAAAACGCAGAAAGAGTTCGGCAGAAAATCACCGTCCGATCAGCTTGACATCACACATCTGCAAGCTCATGAAGAGAATCATAAAGGAAGGAATCATCCAACATCTCACAGAGAACAATCTTGTAAAATCAACACAACATGGATTTGTTAAAAATAGATCCTGCCTCACTAACCTGCTTACATTTCTGGAAACGGTAACCGGCAATTCAGACAAAGGACTTCCGGTAGATCTGATCTTTGGATGGATTTTGGATGGACTCTTACATGGACTTTGCTAAAGTTTTTGACAAGGTACCACATCAGAGACTTGCAAGGAAACAGGCACAAGGAATAAATGGGAGAATGCTGGAATGGATAAAACAATGGTTAAAACATAGAAAACAAAGGGTGCTAAATCGTAATGAATCTGACTGGGTAAATGTGCTAAGTGGGGTTCCACAGGGGTACATTTTGGGGCCAACCCTTTTTGTCATATACATCAATGATGTAAATGTGAATATTACAAACCACATCATTAGATTTGCACATGACACTAAGATCTATGGTAAAGTAGGAAGTGGAAGTGATATTGAGACCTTACAAAGAGATCTGCATGAGCTCCACAAATGGTCTGATGACTGGCAAATGCTTTTTAATGTCGATAAATGTAAGACCTTTCATGTAGGGCATAACAATCCACGTCACAACTACCAAATTGACACCACTACCTTACAACAGATAAATGAAGAAAAGGATCTTGGTATCAGAATCAATCATTCACTATAAGTTCCACAACAAGTGGGAGCACCAGTAAGAAAAAGCGAATCAAACCCTGGGAATAATCAAGCATACCTTTACCTTCAAGGAAATTATTGCATATTATATAATTGCAATTATACCTGGATTATTACATCCAAGCATGGAGACTTCATCTTCAGAAAGGCATAGCTGCTCTGGAGAAGGTGTAACATCAGGCAACAAAAATCATACCAGAGCTTAGTCATCTCTCGTATCAGGAACGGTGAGGGCCACAGGGCTAACACTGCAGACAAGGCATGATAGGGCGGATCTAATAGAAACCTTCAAAATACTAAACAATTTGGACGATTTCGATTCGAACACTTTCTTCGAAGTTCAAATGTAACACGAACGAAGAGCAACGGGTTCACGCTCCACAAGCCACAATGTAGAATAGAAAACAGGAGATGCTTTTTCACCCATAGTGTTGTAAACCCGTGGAACTGCCTTCCTGCCGAAGCCGTAAACGCCAAAACTCTGATGGATTTTAAAATACCGATAAAAAAGATCATCCGGGCAAATAAGGGCACCTTTGACAAGCTGCCAGCTTCCTGTCCTCGTCGAGGCCACTAATACCCCTCAGGTATATTCAGGTAACACTGCGTAGCAGCAGCACCCAGGATCAAAGGACGCCATAAACACAACATCCCGCCCTACAGTGCGCCAAGTACAAATACAAATACTTATTCAGGTAAAAGTACATTCATACAAGATGAGTTACAAACAGAATATTGGATTTATTGATAGAGCTAGTACATACTATGTCTAAAGCCACTAATACGCACAGCATTACAGGCAAGTCTCCCTCTAACACACGCCTCTGTTTATTCGCCGCTCCTCTGTCTCCACCACAACACAACAAACACTTTTGAAACCTTGTCATTCTCAACATTAACGTGCCTCCCAACATTCGTACTCGTGCAGTCATCGGGAGGATAAACCCTTCATGCAAACTGCGCCTACCATTAAGAAGAAGAGAAGAAAGGATTGCAACCTGGGGTACTACTGCACCCTCTAGAATCCCTGAGGCTTCCACTGAAGCCGGATTCACACAATCCCCCCAAGCACTCTGGCTCTGTCATCTAGGAATGTTCTACCTCTGATGCTCCTCATTCCCTGTTGTTGTT